TTTAAAAAAAGTAACTTTTTGACTTTATTATTGCATTTTGACAGTTAGTTGACAGCTTGTTGACAGCTGTAAGCTGATGACTACATAATTTTATATCATATTTATATTCACTTATCTAAAAAACTTGAAGTTATAAACAAAAAATAATTTTTTGACTTTATTACCGGACTTTGAAGAATTGTTGACAGCTAAATGACAGCTGCCGATAGTCATTGTTATTGATTTGATATCGTCTTTGAACTTATCGAACTAAAAAAAAAGAAAGATAAAACATAAAAAAACAAGTTTTTGGCTTTATTATAGCACATTGACAGCTATTTGACAGCTGCCAACTGTCAATTTTGAAAATCTAACAACAGATCTGAATTCAGCAACCTCAAAAATATAAACCTAGATAATAAAAAAAATGAAATAGGCTATTTCAAAAGTCTATACACACTGCGCATATACATAAATCCGTGGAGGATATTCGGAGCTTTAAAGCTCTGTACCGGCCAAACTATCCATTTTTGAGCTTTGTGGCCATTGAGACAATTGACCAGTATGATGAACTCTATCACATATCAAAAATTCAGCGAATTTGACCGGGACCCAATTTCCATAAGATTTGTGCGGGGTCCTTTATGTTTTACGGTAAAAACAATTGGAAAGCCTGCAATGTCTCCTATTCTAATGCCATTACAATAGGATTTAAATTAAATTATTTCCAATAAGTTTTTCAACTGGACCAAATTGGATTTTAATTTAATTTAATTGAAGACTGTATAGGACTCCTAAGAGAGTTGATTCCTATTAAGTTGCAACTAAACTAACCCTTGTCGAACTCCGAGTAATTAGTATATAAATAAAAATCTTTAGATGTTGGAGTTTATATTTACTTATTTTGAGACTGAGGGTAGATTAAACTGAATTATTATAATAACATAAGTTGTTGCAGAAGAAAACATGGATACCAAGAGACTCTGATTCACGGTAAAAAAACCAGCCGCTGACATTTTAGGGGCAAGTTGTTTGGTGTTTTCAGCAAAGAGGGTGAGTTCTTCCTTCAAAGGAGATCTTTCCAATTGCAACAGTTTCAAATAACTAGTAATCGTAACATTCCTTCCGCTCTTTTCAACTCTATCGCAGGACATTACGAGGGTAATGCTAGTAATCTGAAATAAAACAGAATATTTTAATTGTATTACTGAACAGTTGCAATGAGGTAAAATATATTATATGTTAAATTTTATTTAAAAACAAATACAGTACTGGAAAAAATTAAAGGAGCAAAAATATTTCATAATTTTTTTAGTGATCTCAGTGAAACATTGTCACGTCGAGACAAAAAAAAACTTTTTTCCAGTAGTGTACTCTTTTGAGAGCATTAGAACACTTATTTTTATGGTATTATATCTAAAATGATTCAAATTATTGTTTTTTCTTATTACTTACTACAAACAGAATAGGAAAAACAATAATAAACAAACAATACTTTTCCAAAACAGTTTTAGCCACCATAGGCTTCAAATTGCTCAACGCAAAATGGAAACTGTTTAAAACAGATAAGACGGCTCCCTGCAATATAAAAAATATCTTCCACCCAAAAATTATTTTCATTCGCTGGACTGTTTCGTGCAACATTTGGTATATCAAGAACACATTCCTCAACTTTGCAATCTTTTCCTTTTCTTCGCTGTTTCGAAGAATTACCCTGCATCCTTTCATTGTTGATTGTACGAGATTATTTAAGTATTCGTATCTCCTTTGTAACATCCGATTGAAAATGCATATGTGAATCACGTCGAAGACCTGATAGTACGTAGCGATTCTAAAAGAAATGTAGATGTATATGTTTTTTTCAGCACCAGTGAAAATCCAATTTATGTTTTCAATCAAATGAACCGCCAGAAATATTACATGATATATTATTACTTCCATCTTGAACAAAGTAATACTCTCATTGACAACGAAATTATCTTTAAGAAGTTGCATCTCTGTCAGTTCGATATTTTCGAAAAGATTCTTCCAGTGTTTCTTACCAAACTGAGTGAAAAATAAGTTGGCTCCTATGTATATTAAATCTAAAACCGCCTGAGTTCCGTCTAGAAAATTTTCAAGTAAGGTACCATTTACACTATACACGCTCAATCTTCCAACAACTGTGTTTATTGACAATATTACAAATAGGAACAGTAATACCCAGACGTACCACTTCGAAAAATCCTTACTTGGCTTTTCAGACATAGCTGATGTTAGTCCGAAATATTTCCCTAGGTTATAATGAGTGTAGATTATTCGAATATCGGCTCTTGTTAAGCATATATCAGTTTTTCTTATCATTTTAACCATCACCATTCTGCTGTCGACGCGCAGTTGAGTTTTGATACTGCGACAATGAAAACCAAAATGATTCAAGCACAGTTAGCACAATTATTTTCATGGGTTGTGACAGCTTCTAACAGCATGAAGCAATTATAAATTAATTGGTATTTACTTTACTATATTAAATGTTAATTTACCCTTCATAGGAATGGACAGGGTAGTCATTTTAATTCTAGACATAATAGTTCCCACAGGTGCTTACTACAATACATATTTTTTTATTATTTCCTTCTATATTTAAAAAAATAATAAATAAATAACCTATTACACCAAAAGGTTCAGGGGAGGAGTTCTTAATAAATTTAGTTTTACCGAACAAGAAATATCTCACACAAAGGAAGGGATAGTTGTTCTCACGAGCATTATAACACATAATATGGATAAAGTTTCGAGAACCTTCTATATTTTCAACGTGAATACTGTTAAAATATGCAGAAAATATATTTCTCTGCGCCCAATTCGCCTAACACGAGTCAGATTGCTTTTAAGATACGCCAATCAAAAATTAAATAAATAACAATTTTTTACTCTAATACGTTATAAGGTATTAACCTAATTTAAATAAATTAAGAAAATTTCTACCTAGAAAATCATATCAATGTTCTTCGATAACAAAAATCTAGGTATGCAAAATATATCAAACCTTACAGACAACATTCCAAATAGTTGATATTAAACAGGAATCTATTCTATACTTTAAGTTTTAGGAATTTTGTCCAAGATTAAAAAAATATTTAAAAATTTTCACATTTAATCTAGCAATTGAATGTATAAGTCTGGACACGGTTTTAGATACAATTTTATTGGGATGTCCCCTCCATTTCAGATTAACCGTTGAATTTATTATTTATAGTTCAAATAAGGACAATTTGCGAAAGCATAATCCACGTATCGCTATAAAAAATTTTTGAAAAAAATTAAATAATTTTCACTAAAATAAGAAACATTATGGGAAAAAAAATAATTCGGTAAAAAAACCTAGAAAATTCTTTCCCATTTTGCTAAATTACGATGAATGTGTTTCAAGTAATTCTCTAAATTTTCATAGTAGAATATTTTCATTCACCAGGTAAGTAATAATATAAGCAAACCGAGAAGCAATACAGCCTTTTACTTATTTTAAATAGAGTTTTGGAAATGAAACCAAAAAAGGTCCTCGAAAGGCAGTGCCATCTGTTATGGTGTTTTCCCGTTAGGCAAAATTAAATTTATAAAATCAACCTCTTAACTAATCCCTTAGGCACAAGAGGGTACTTATATATTTTACAGTTAGCAACCTTACTGTAGGCAACCAACTATACAGTGCACCCGTCTTATAAGCTAAAGTAAAAATTTTAAGTAAATGTTCATCTCCACTGTCAATAAACGTACAAGTCATTTACAATTCTAAATATAGGACAAAAGTATCACATACTGGTTATAAAAAATAACTGATATTATAAAGACATAATTTATTAAAATAACAGAAGTGAAATATACCTATTAGATAATTCGAAAACCCATCAATTGAATGGAAAGCCCAAGGTAGAAGAAATTTGTTAGCAATTCAATAAAATTTTGTAATTTTTTACTGTTTTAACACAAATTGTTAAGAGAAACCTGAAGGGAAAAATTCGATTCGCTGAAAAGCTCATTTTTTTTCTGAATATAGTATACTGTACTGTTATTTTTTCTAAAATTGTTTCTTTTATAACAATTTTGGTCTATTAATATTAGTTAATATATGTTCAGCAAACTGAAAAAAAATATAAGACTGTATTCTTATCAACTAACTCCTGTGTAATATTGGGCACCACAAAAACCTCCTTGATAATTACGGTTTGTACAATTTATTAAACATTAAATACATTAAATCACCTTAAATCTCTAGAATCTCTTACAAAAAGAACAGCTGAAGGCAAAACTGCAACAATCAAAAAGAATTGGAGGTATTGGTGGTTATTTCGAGAATGTTTTATAATTAATTACATATATGTATTATGTATTTTTGTAGTTGCACCTAATAAAATATTCTTTCCTTTTTCCTTTTTATTATTGTTTTCATATCTCACTGCTTTCTGCATTCGATTCAATTTTGTCCTATAATCTCAAAAACTTTTACGTTGTAATTTTAAAACATTTGAGTTTAACCTTTTTAACCAAATACACTTTTTTTACAAAGAATTGAATTTGATTTAATAATTTCTTGCTGGAAATTTAGATTATCGTAGGGCAAAGAAGTTGGACATCTTTTTACACTAACAGGGGAGTGTAACAATACCTACCCGTAATTGTCATCTTACACACAATGATTGTGTACCTAATTCGTACAAAAAATTGAAAATATTTTTTATTTTTTATACAAGCAACGCAACGCGAAAACTAGTTAAAAAATTTTATTTACCTGTCAAAATACATAATAGTGCCAATTTTTTTGCTCATACTCTGAGTTTTCAAAATCATTGAGACTTTTCAAAATATAATTGGAACATTGAATGCCCTGTATCTTTGAAATCAGCAACATTTGCATAATGCATATTTGGCTCAATCGACTTATTTTGGCCACCAATATCTCTAGCTTCGAGATTTCCCAATCTTTCGCAGACACCGTGTATATTTAATTAAAATGTTATACGTCATTGAAATTAAACATACTATAAGCACATAACAGAGTTATATTATAAGCTACATATTTATTTCTTTTTTAGGGTTGTAATAAATTTAGTCAATAACGGAATGAATATAACAGTTTATTTTTTGTATGTAGAATAGCAAATATATTTTGCGGGACAATCCTCTATTCTAATGCAGACACCATTATCATCTCTGGCATATCCATCCATACAGTAGCAGTCATCGTTACACCTTACGTTTATAATTGGACATGGTTGTCCTAGAGTAGCACACTCGGTCTGACAGGCGCTACCGCAATCGTAGTATTCATTTGGTCTTGTACAGTTGATCCATACCAATCCTGAAAATATGTTACAATATTTTTGATTTACATTCCAGAGGACAACGGTAATTATTCATCTGGCTACCAGATAGTCGTAAGGTCAAAATATGAAAAACCACCTTTGACCGTTTTTAGCAGTGCCATCTATATTGTAGAGTAAGACAACTACAGAATTGCAGAATTATATTTAATGCGAATTGCTGAATAGTTATCCCTTCTCTGCCTCCATCGAATCAATACAAAAGAAATAATTTTGCTATTTATTGACTTTCTTTTATAAATACCTTAACATTTTATATGGATGTTCATCACAGGAAACTACCCTATTGGGTTAAATATAGCTTAGGCCAAATAAGATTGCTTCATTTTGTAACTGAGAAATTATTGAAGCAATTACAGTGAAGCTTGGACATTACATCAACGTGATCGATCACATAATATTGCTATATTCTTCCACGTTTGATTTAATATAGATAACATGGGTGCCAATCTACTTATAACAACTGTGGTTGTTACGATCCATCACTTATAACGCTCTAATTTTGAATCGGTTGACCACCACAAAGAGCATATACAGTGTGTCCCAAATGGTGGAACAAAAATCGCTGAAACAGGCCAATTAGTAAATAGAAATTGTCACTTTTCAGTAATATCACCTATTTTTTTGAACCTTGTTTGACAGACCTCTAACATTACCGACATTTTTTTTTAATAAGACGATCTATACTTTATAGTATAAATAAATAGCCCTTCTAAAGACGAATTCAGCGATATAAGATTATACCTACTTTTTTGTCATAGTTGTAAAAAAATATAACAAATTGTCTTTTATGTCGTACTGACGACTATTTCAAATAATCATAGTCTCTTCCGTACTTTAAAAAACGTACCTACTCTTTATTAATCTCTTTCTACTTATTTTAAAGCTTTTTTTTCTAAAAAAAACACATCGATAAACACCAGATTACCTTAGGTAAAATTAGTCGATCTACAATAAGTAATGTATCCAAAAAATGTGAAGAAACCGAAGGTATAAAAGGAAGGCGAGGAACGCTAAGCGAAAATGATCTCAAAATGTGATACTCGCCGTTACTGAAGATCTTCACTCATCCATTAGATCTATCTCAACCAACTTCAACTTGTCGAAGTCCTTAATTCACAGAACTCTGAAGTTTCAAAAGTGGCATTCTTACAAAGTTAACGTCTTATAAGAACTATGCGCAGATGACACAGACATTTATTTAGACAATACAACTTAAAAAATCACATAATTTTCTCTGACGAAGCAACTTTTTGCTTAAACGGAACCATGAACAAGTAAAATACTAGGTTTTGGAGCCCAGAAAATCCGCATTATATGCAAGAAAAATATTCACAACGGCCGGAAAAGCGAATGTTTGGGCTGGAATAGTAGGAAATCGCATACTGGGGCCTTATTTCTTTGATGGCAATTTGACATTTATTTAGATTTTTGCGTTTTCAGCTGATTCCAGCACTGGAATTAATTTTTTCTAACCCTAATGAGCACGATATGCCTGCAGGTGATATCTGGTTCCAACAAGATGGTGCTCCTCCACATTTTCGCCTCAATGTAAGGAATTACCTTAATAAAGTTTTTCCAAATCGATGGATAGGCAAAATAGAGCAGCTTGAATGGCCACCATGCATTTCTGACTTAACCCCACTAGATTTTTTGTGAGGTTATCTATAAAGCAAAATGTATGTGAACAGATCAAACACTATCGAAGTATTGAACAATCGTATCAGAGAAGAAGTTCTAAACATAACACCAATGTTATTCAACATGTAATTTATAACTTTGAACACCGAATTGGGCATTGTGCAATGGTTAATGGGGGCCATTTTGAACATTTCTGTAATAAAATAAAAAGTAGTACTAAATTATTGTTTTCATTTCATTCATCCATTTTTGACAAATATAACAAAAAAGTAGGTATAATCTTATATCGCTGAATTCGTCTTTATAATGCCTATCTATTTATACTATAAATATAGAGCGTCCTATTTAAAAAAAAATATCGTTAATGTTATAGGTCTGTCAAACATGGATCAAAAAAATTGATAATATTGCAGAAAAGTGACTATCTCTGTTTACTAATTAACCTGCTTCAGCGATTTTTTTAATTTCAACCGGAAAAAATATAAATTTTGTTCCATCTTTTTGGGACACGCAGTATATCAGACTTGTACCGATGTCGTGCTTGGGCAATATAAAAAGGTTTTTATGTCGAGTCTCACGACGAAGTGCACAAACTTTAAGTTAATATTTCTCAGATAAAACTAAGCTAGAAAGTATTACCTTGTACTTTCTTAGCCTTATATAGCCTGCCGTTGTTGTTCTCGGTCTAGGCTCTGTGGAAGCGGATCCGCTAGCAGAACGCCTGGTACCACCGTGGTGTTCATTTCGATCCTTGTTGCTAGTTCTAAGGCTGCTACGGTCGGGACCGCTTCTCGAACAATAGTGGTCCTCTGAAACGTTCCGTAATGGTCTCTGTAACTGGTCACATCCAACTCTTCCAAACATTTCGCCGATAATCACTACCAACATCTTCAGTGGCGACAAATGCTTCGCCGCAACTAAGTCTCAGTCTAGAGGTTCTGATAGCGGATTCGCACCATAGAGACTAGCCCGAGAACAACAAGGTCAGGTCAAGGATTCTACCATCGTATTTCAAATAACGTTTGATATACGGGATCTGCCCTTTTCTTGAAGGGTTATATCTACGTGTATGACTTTTTTTTTTAAGTATTTGTGCATAGTTAAATTAAGTTTAAATTAATTTACTCTTGTCAATTTTTCTTAGATTTTGAAGTAATTCGATTTGTTTTCCAATGGAAAGTAAAAATACGTTAAAAGTATAGGAACTATACTTTTACGTATTTTTTTTTTCAAGTATGTTTTTGTTGTAATTTTTATTTAGTGTAAATCTTTGTAACAAATTTATTTATTGACCGATTTACTTTCTTCTCTTACATCTTATATAATAAGAATTTCTTTTCAGTTATCAAAACTTTTTTTTATTTTCTTTTTGTGTCAAATTTAACAAATATTGTTTAGCTCCTTTTTTTATCATTTATTTAAAATGAATTCTATATATCCTCAATGTGGTTTCTATCAAATTTTGTGAAAAAAAATTGATTTTGCAATGAGCAATAAATATTTTTTCTCGAAATTTGGTACAAACAGCATTGATGAGATGCAGAAGCCAATGGCGTAGTCAGTCAAAATTTACTAACCAATTTTTGTCAAAAAAAATTAAAAGTTGGGGTTAATAAGTGAACGTAAATAATTCAGATCATATGTGATGTGTGTATGTGACTGTAAGCTTCATCTTAAAACCAACGAATTAAATCAGTCAACAAATCCCTTTTTGAAAAAGGTGTTGCCATTTAAAATTATCACACTGTATATCCAACTCGTTGAGATTTGGCTTTTCCATGTATTAATTTAATAATTAAAATTCTTTTAACAAACTGTTCTCTGTGTCATAACAAACAGAAAATTCTATTACGCAGAAATACTCGGTCTAATAAAAATTGTAACTGAAACTTTCATAAATAAATAATTACAGACATAGATAAATGTATTTTATTTTCCCCTGCTCCATTAAACAGATTAAATTAGAAAAATGGTAGTCAAAAATAATGTAGAGCAACTTTAATGAACTCTGTCAACTCCTAAAAAATATAGATTTTCTGGTACCAGGAAGAAAATGTATTATTTTTCAAAAAAATATGTTCAGGGTCATTCATGTAAAATTTTATCCCCCTTATCTTTTTTCCGTTTCTGTCTAAGAAAAAATAGTAAAGTTTTAGGAAGTTCTCTTGTCTGAAATCACAAGATATGTACAAAAGAACAATGGACTGTTGTCTACTAAAAATATAAAACAAATTTTGCTTTTTGAAATAGAAAACAAATCTGTGGTCATTATCATTTTCCCTATATAGAAGGATAAGGGAGATAGAATGTAATGTGAATGTCCCTGTATTAACCAGCAATTATAAACACCAAAAAAAAAAAAATTAAAAAAGTTCCCAGCTAACGAGAAAAGCTAAACGTTTATCTTCAAAGTGCAATATAAAATTATAAAAATTCTAAAAACATTAATATTTAAAAAATCAGTCAGTTTCACATAAAGTATTATTACAATATTTTTTTTAAATATTTTATGAAGAGACATTTGAAACTTACCCCCAGGTGGTAGGTATTTTCCAAAACTAGTGCCACTAAGGTATCCAAGGAACACGAGAAACAGCCAGCACTTCATCATGTTAAAATGTGAATACATTACTTAAAACAATGTTTATATACTCCGTATATGGCCATTATCCTGGCTAGACTGCAGTGGCGCCGATACAGTTACCAAATTTGTTGACACAGTAAAGAAAAAAAAAAACATTTCAAAAGATAAATATGTACAGAGAAGTATGAAATCTTAGAGTTTGGCATTTGTGGGATAACAATGGTAAATTCTTTGTCGTGAAATGGGTACAGATTATATTATATTTACATTATTACTATTAAATGCATTTTCTTTCTCATATAAAGTTTTATTACACTAAAGAATCATCAAAATCTTTCTTTTAAAAGTCGTAATCGTAAATCGTAAAAGCAAATCAACATTGTCAACACTTTTGACTTCTTCAAAAGAAATATTTTGGGTTTTGACTAGTCTGGCGCCTTCCACTAGCCACTTTGGCACTTGGTTTCTGGATGATATTGAAAATTTCTACACCAGTCACAATATTGTAAATGATTTGGCATCCTTGATTATGTCCTTCCAATGTTGAATCCTGAGCAATTTTTGGTCGTCAGTCAACTTATGCCGAACAACCCACACTTTTCGTTAGCCCAAATATTCGGCCAAAATGCGATAAATTGATGTTTTGGGGATGCTCAATTGCAATTCCATAAATTTCAATGAAGATTTTGGCAGATCTTTGATGCATTCGGGCACAACTTTGATGGAATCTGCGGTGAGCACGGATTTCGGTTGGCCGACATTTTTTATTTATTCGCTTATGCCACCCATGGACTCTGTCAAGGGATAAACAATATTAGCTCTTTGTTCTCTTCTATTCGTGCAAATGTCATGAAATTTTGACAGTACACCAGTGAAGAATCTACCTTTTTGACGCATGTAATTGCCAATAGATGACCTCACTAGAAACACCAATTTTTGAAAAATCCTGTGTGGGTGATGTAACCTAAAAAACATGACATATCTCAATTGTCACTACTATCCACTATCTACTACCTGCTAAAGTATTGCTTTATACCCATTGGCTGAGCATGACATTTGTTGCACTAAGCGAAATGAAGTTTTTAACTCACGATACAGGAAACAACTACTCTGCGGATTACAACCCTGTGCAGAATGAAATTACATCCACAGTATCTAGTAAACAACTCTCTGTCAGTGGATGCAATAATATTCCACTGACGAATAATCCGAGGTATTTACAGATATTGCAGGTGAAATTCAATGTTGTACGGGGCTCTAGTCCGCAGAGTAGTTCTTCCTTAATTAAAGATTCTTTTTATGATCAACGCATATGATGCAGTACCTTCACATGAATGAAGACGAATATTATTTGATTAGATATGGAAATTGTTTATAATATTTTTTGATGTATCCCAAATTAACGAAAAGGCCTTTCATTAACCATCTTTAACTGCGTTATTTTAAAAAGTCGTGTTGTTTGTAACATTTAATTATCGTCGAACGGTGATTATTTTGACATAAAATTTTAGGACTTCTGCAGTAGCGTACTGCTTACAGTTCAGATCAGTAGAACTAGTTTCCATATGTTTTCCTAACTAAATGTCGCAAATTGACAAATGAATACTTACTTTAAAAACTTCTTAGTGCATATATATGTTTCATTTTCAACATAGAATCATATTTTACTTTTTAAAATCATCCAATGTAATAGATTTTAGGTTGTTTCTCTTTTTGTTACTCACTGGTCTATTTATTTAGGTTTTAATCACTTTAAAAAATGATAAAATATTTAAATAATATGCATAGGTACATGCTTTTTAGTCATGTTTTTGTTATATCTCGTTGCCTTTTTATGTTATCATGTGGTATTAATTATATGCACATTTAACAGCTGCATTGTTTTTATCATTGTCGGATTTAATGTTCAGAAGTAAATTATGGTTATAGTTAAAATGAAGTGCAATATATATTTTAAATTTTGTGAAACGATTTTTTTTATACAAGGTGGTCCTAATCTGTCTCTCAATAATTTTTTTTTAAAATAAGGGCAGTTTTTTCATAAACCTTATCCCGAAGACAAATAAAAAGGGAAATATATATTTATTTATTTCTATCCTATTTTTTAATAAGTTTGAATAAAAATGGATTTTTAGTTTGTTAGAGACAAGAATGTTGATTAATTTCCCTTGTTCCGAGAAATTCTTATGTACTTTGAAATGGCACATATTTCCAACAATTTCTGTATAACAAGTACCTTAATAGTGTTTGTTTCCAAAAAATTTAAATCTGACAAGACAATATATTTTTATTTTTAAATATTTCAGCAGAATTTCGGGGGAATGCAGTTAGGACTATTCAAATCTTACCTTACTTCCAGAAAGCAATGTGTTGCTCTAAAAATTGATAGATCTGATCTAACTGCAGTAGAGAGTGGGATACCTCAAGGTTCGGTTTTGGGGCCCTTACTCTTTATAATTTATATCAATGACCTTTCTCCCTATTTGTCTCCTGAGACGTGTATTCTCTACGCTGATGATACATCCTTGATTTGTAGCAATAATAATGGAGTTTCCTTACAATTTGATGTCAATGTATTGGAAAATAAAGCCAATGAGTGGTTCGCAAATAGTAATCTTAAATTAAATTTGGATAAAACTCAACGTATAATGATGGTCACCTTACGTTCTTCAAAATTCTTATTAAGTATTGGGCGGAATTATAAAATTTAAAGTCTGTTGTAAAGAGAATTATAAGAGCTTTCAAAAGAAATATCACTTAACCCCTAATGGCATTCAAATATTTTGGGGTGATGCTTACCCTTGCTTGGGGGTGAAAGTGGCGGAGTCAAAAATACCAGCAAAGAATGTCCTCTTTTAATCTAAAATGGACTGGTCTGAGCGTTTTTCTACAATCTTGACGCAGTTCCTGAAATTGGCTGTGTTTCGTTTTCATTTGTCCACCCTGTGTATATGTGTTAGACTTACTACATTTGTACTATTGATATATGTTTGACTTACTACAATTATTGTACTTCTATGTATAAAAAGTAGTTAATAAATTTATCTAACTACCTATCTATAATTCATGGGGTCTAAACTTGAGCTACCGCAATGTTTTGTGAAAGGATTAATTGATAATTGCATCAAATAAGGATTCAATTTGGAAGAATGTTCAGGTGGATCTGCTCTGAGACAGGCCAGGCTTCCCATAGGGGACCCATGGTTTGAAGCCAATCGGAAAATTAATTTAGTTATCAGAAGCAGCATTAGGGTTGTCGACTTCTAACGGGTTAGACATCTAAACAAACACCTCACTAGAATTGTTCCCAGTGCGAGATGAAGGTTATGTGGATATACAGGGTGTTCTGAAAGTTCATCAAGAAATTCCGGGAGGTGATTTTACGAATTAAAATTATAGCAGTGTGTAATAAGAATTTTTTTCGAATTGTCAATTGTTTGCAAGTTACAGTTTGTGAAATTTCATTTTTTTAAATTTTTCTATTTAAATATTTTATTTGATTCAAGTTCGATTAGTCTCTCATTTGGCACACGCACTAGGTAGATGTAGCTCTATTGGACCAGTCATAGCCATGTTTCATTATGCATCGCTAGATGACACTTTACCTAGAACTCAAAATTTGTATTGTTCATAACATTTTCTCTGTCTTTGCGCTTGCTTTCTGGTAAAAGGACACAAGAACCTTGTAGCAGCATTTTTATCACATCTGGACATTAGAAAGGTTCCCTGTAGAACTAGTGCTTGCTTTGACACGAAATAATAAAATAACTCTTTTTAGCGGCATGCACAATGGGTTTAAAACCTTAGTGCTGCTGGTAACTGCACCACTTGTCACAACAGCAACAACTATTGCTATTGTCTTAAATAAATCTTTCTAGCTGCATATCGTTGTGAATACTTTTTTAAGGAAAAATTATGTTAGGTATAGAAAAAGTTCATTAACGTAGAAATTTCACTTACCTTTTAGATCGTTTTAATAATACGAAATAATAAATTTATTAATGATTGGAAGGTGATTAATTAAAACAACACAAATTATTTATTATCTATCTAATAATGTTGTTACAATAGGCAACCAATTATACATGTGTAAATTATATTAATAACTGAAATGAATTACAGCTGAGAGTTTTTAATAAACGACTTTATTAAAAGATTAATGTATCAACTAAAATAATTATGTAGATTTCACATGCAGGACGTAACATTTATTTTTTGAGGTTGGTATATCAAAGTAATCGCAACTCTCATGTTAGTAGAGACATCTAGCGGTAGATACCAGAAACAAGTGCTTGTAAGGACAGAAATTTTTTATGCAAAATCTATGGTAGATATTTAAAAGTAGAATTTGAGGTTGGTTCGTTAACTGTAATATTACTGTGAACTACTGGTTTGAACGGTTCATTCTAGTAGATACCCTTACAGAAATCTTTAAACTGGTAAATAATCAAAGCTACATATCTACTTACAACTTTGTTGCTTCCAAAAGAATAAAATCTATATGAGATATCAGATATTTGAAATTAAGAACATGAATTACAGCACTTTGGAACATTTAGACATTCGTCTGGTATTAATGCAAGCTGTTCGCAATATTATATACGAGTTTACTAATTACTAAAAAATGAAAGTCACTAACATTCAAATATATGTACAGGGTGTTCCCAGTTCGGGTTGCCTATACCTGAAATGGATACAAAATTACAATTGTCAAAAATAATCATTCTTCATAAAAATTTTTGCTTATCCAGAAGCCCTTGGCAAGATACTCATTTGTTCAATTTAATGTACAGGGTGTTCTAAAAATTGGAAAAAGTAAAAACAGTGAAGAGTATAGTACCTTAAATCTTAACGCTACGTGAAAAAGTAATGGGGAAAAGTTGCTTGGAATTAAATTTTATGTTTCAATATGAAAGCATGGCCTTTTAGTTAATACTCCACATTCTGGGATATTCTAGGACCCTACTTATTTTTTAATACTTTCGGAGAAGCCATTCTATTTAAAAAATATTACTTTATTGAAAAACATATACACATGTTTGCATATTAATAATTTATTTTTTATACAGGGGATCAAAAACATTAATCCAACATTTATTTTGAGAAGCAGAATCAGTATGTACGCGCCATTACCAAACTATTCTACATGAAGTCCGCCAAGTTCAACACACCTCCAATCTTTTTCTAATAGGTCGAATGTATCACTTCTTCATTTACTTGGCCAACAGTTTCAATTATCCTGCTTTTCAAGAAATCAACATTGTGTAGCACTGGTTCTCTGTACACTCTTTCTTTCAAGAAGCCGCAAAGGAAATAATCAAGCGGCGACAAGTCAGGGGACCTTGCTGGCCAACAAATAGAACCATATCTTCCTATCTACTTCTCTCGAAATGTTCTGTTAAGCCAATTACGGACTATAATTGTTGAGTGAGCGGGACATCCTTCTTGTTGGAAATACGCTTTTTGTCTATATTCCAAATGTTCTTCTTCTAATTCTGGCCAGAAAAACGTGTCTAGCATCTCCAGGTACGTATATTGATTTAAATTTTCTTCAAAAAAATATGGCCCAATTATTCGGTTGAAAGTAATCTTGTACCAAACATTTGCTTTTTTGAATCTTTGACTTCTTGAAGTAACTGTAAAGGAAGGATTTTCTAGCGACCAAAAACGACAATTTAATTTTGCTATGATAGGTACCACTCCATTGGTCACAACTAATGTCAAAAAATTATTGATAACAATTGCCTTCTACAAATTATTGGTATTTTGATTATTTCCTTTGGGGCTTCTTGAAAGAAAGAGTGTACAGAGAACCAGTGCAACACAACGTTGATTTCTTGAAAAGCAGGATAATTGAAGCTGTTGCCCAAGTAAATGAAGAAATGATACATTCGACCTACGCCGCGTTTAGAAAAAGATTGGAGGTGTGTTGAACTTGGCGGACTTCATGTAGAATAGTTTAGTAATGGCGCGTACATACTGATTCTGCTGTGTTCTCAAAATAAATGTTGGATTAATGTTTTTGAGGTTTTTGGTCCCCTAAATAAATTATTAATATGTAAACATGTGTATCTGTTTTTCAATAAAGCAATATTTTTTAAATAAAATGGCTTATCCGAAAGTATTAAAAAATAAGTAGAGGCCTAGAATATCCCAGAATGTCGAGTATTAACTAGAACGCCATGCTTTCATATTTAAACATAGAATTTAATTCCAGGCAACTTTTTCCCAATAGTTTTTCACGTAACGTTAAGATTTAAGGTACTTTACTCTTCACTGTTTTTACCTTTTTCAAATTTTTGAACACCCTGTACATTAAATTGAACAAAATTTTGTATCCATTTCAGGTATAGGCAACCCGAACTGGAGGCACCCTGTATAAGTTATATAACCTTTAGGATGTATAATTGTATAAGTTAAATAGATTGATCAATAAAATGCATTTAGAATCAATTTCTTAGTGATTCTTTGATAACAGTTTTCCATACATCGCGTCTGCCATTATTGAATTTTTACTGGACAATTATGCTTCTTACGTTTCACAAATGTCAATCTCATTTTTTTACCTTCTTCAGTAGGATTATCTCAAAAAGTAGTCAAAATTGAAATTTGAAAATTTGTATACAGGGGTTTAACAAAAAAATCTATTCAATGAAAATAGTGTCAACTTTCTAGCACTTCCGGTTATACCGGAAGTCGTCATCAACTCTGTTATTTGAAATGGAACACTGTATATTTTTGCATTTTTTAATTCTAAGGTAAAATGTAGACTAATTTTATACAAGGTACAAAGGGCCAAAATGTGACAGTTTTCAAGTGATTATCAGTTTTCGAAAAAAATTGAGGGTGCAAGTGATTTTTGAAAACAGAATAACTCCGACATTTTGCTTTATTTATTAATGAAATTTGGCATGGATAATTTAAAAGCAACGGAATTCAACCAGTTTGTCAAATTTGCAAAAATTCATACAGAGTGGTTAAGAACGTGTGGCCAATATTGTGAGGTTAAAGTTGAATTTACTTAAATATTTCAAATGGTACACCCTGTATATTATTACATTAATGGATACACAATTAAATTTACTTTAAAATCTATAGTTCCCTATAACCAAAGTTAAAATGTGTAAAATGGAAATTATTGATTTCAACACAGAAAAACATACGGTGGATTTGATGCATTAAAGAATTGAATAATAAACGGTGTCTGATTAACGAGCTGTAATTTTTATTATCGTTATACCTTCATAAAAAACAATAATTCAGTATATTAAATTAAAAAGGGCGATGCTTTAAATAAACCCACCATAGTCGTAGATTTTTCTGTGTTGGAATCAGTAATTTCCAATTTACACAAGAACTGTTAACTTTGGGTATAGGGAACTATAGTATCATTTTAAAGTAAATTTGCAGGGTCTACCATTTGAAATTTTTGAGTAAATTCAACTTCAACGTCGCATTATTGGTAACACGTTTTTAAACACTCTGTATGACTTTTCGCAAATTTGACAAAAACTGGTTGAATTCCATTGCTTTTAAATTATCCATGCCAAATTTCATTAATAAATAAAACAAAATGTCGGAGTTATTCTATTTTCAAAAGTCACATCCCTCAATTTTTTTCGAAAATTAATAATAATAAGTGCGAGGAAGTTGACACTATTTTCATTGGATAGATCTTTTTGATAAACCCCCTGTTTACAAACGTTCAGATTTCAATTCTAACTACTTTTTGAGAAAATTCTACTGGGCCCTCTTCGTGATACACCCTGTATATTGTTGTCAATATATTTTGAAAGTTAAAATATATCAAAATATTATTACAAAGAAATGAAAAATAGTTCGTTTCATATAATATTTAATTGCAATGATGTTTATGTCATTAAAACACACATGTTCATTGAAAGGCGATCATCATTGATATGTTAAAGTTGTCAATGTATTGGAGGACAATCTGCAATTATGTCGACGCAATTTCCATGTTGATCTCTAGCATATCCTTTCACACAAAAACAATCATTGTTACACTTTACGTTCATAACTGGACAGGGTTGTCCTAGAGTTGCGCACTCGGTTTGGCAAGGGCTGCCACATAGGAACACCTCGTGTGGTCTTGTACAATTCATCCATACATGCTCTGAAACGTTTAAATAAAACTAATTTTATTTTCATCATCATCATCATGATTCTTGTATAAAAGCAAGAGAGACTGTGATTTAAAACTTAGATTAGCTTCTGCGATTCCATTATGGTATAAAGAGGTACGCATTGCTTCAACGCGATCTTCCTAACAAAGAGACTTTCCAAGTGCCTTAATGGATGTTTATTGCATGGGGGAAATTGTCAGGGAAATGCTTTAGAGCTCTTAGTGAAACCATATACTTCCACTATTTAAGAGAATATAATTAAGGATCACGTTCTTGAGAGTGCCACAAAAAATTCAAATTAGGGTAAGAAAAAAAATAGAATAGACTGTAGAGGAAACCAGACTGAGAAGAAACGCACAGGATCTAATATTCTCACTAAAACAAGCGAATGAAAAAGCTCTCAGTAGAGAAATATTTGGTTTGTTACCATTTAAAAGGCTTTCGATAAAATTAACGGTAACGACTTTGGGAATGCATAGAAAGTCGTGAAACTAAACTCCAGAATGAGGAATAATAGGAATAACCCGAAGCAAGGATCTACTGGAGCTAGAGAGCGTTATGGAAAGAGCAATAGAAATAATTGACAATCATCTTGTAGATAGATTGGAGGATCCCAAGTGTAGAATTGGTTGATTTAATATTTGCTGACGATGAACAGGAACGGTAAGTATATAAAAGAATTTATAACCCAATATTAATATACTATACGTGAATAAATAGAGAAAATAAACACTATTAAAACCGACGAAAGAAATACAAAGTATCCAGCTTTAAATATTTAGGCATCATGATCGAGACAAATGGAAGACTGACTGCAGAAATAATCAGAGGCTGTATAAAACTGGAAGAAGATTCAAATAAATTCGACTCAAAAATATCAAAAAAAAAGTAAGAGCTGATATAGTACACAAAATAATGAGAGCAATAGCGATGTATATAGATTGGAAAGTAAGTAATGGAAAAGGTAACTAGGCTGGCTAGGTCATATACATCAAATAGACGACAACAGAATAATCAATAATATACAGGGTGTCCCATAATTAGTGACCAATACTTTAGCAGTAGATTCTACAATCAAAAATAAGATTATTGAAAAAGCTACGCCCCCAATTTTTAACATTTTCAAATTTAAACATCAAACAATGACAGGCATGAGTATTTCACAAAAAAATATATACACTTTTTTGATGATAATTGTAATATTTTCAAATATAAACAAACGATGATAGAAATGGGATTTTTACAAAAAAAAAATGGACTCTAGATTTACTTCGATAAAATGCATCATTTTCGAAAAATATCTATTTAGATTTAGAAGTTATATCTCATGTCTATCTTCTTCCGCATTTCAAACTACAAATTTATAAACCATTCTTGCATCGTTCAAATCACAAACCGTTTGTAGACTGTTGGCATTCAAGCTATCAGTAATTTACTACAGAAGCAAACCTGATATGCACAGTAGTAAATGAAGTTTTGTAATAAATCAGATAATAAAGAAATTATTAAAAACTAAAAAACATGTTATAATAATTGCTCAAAATAACTGCCATTTTGTTGTATGCAAAGCATAGCTCTCCGCGCCTTATTCCATGAGAAGCACGAATAATTTCAAATTCATTGTTCCTTAGCATATTAGAGGCCAAATTTATGGTATCTAATAATTTTTCTTTGGTATCTATTTCGGCGTTATAAACGATACTATTTAAATGTCCCCATAAGTAATAATCTTGAGGATTAAGGTCAGATGAACGAGGTGGACAGGCAATGGGAGCTCTTGGTCCAATCCACCACTCTGGAAAATATTCGTTCAACCAGTTTTTCACATTCCTACTATTATGAGCTGGAGCTCCATCGCTCTGAAAGTACATTTTCCTCTAATATTCAGAGGTACATCTTCCAATAAATTAAACAATTCATTTTGTAAAAATGTAAATAAGCTTTTAAGCCGATTTGGAATTTCAACAGGTCAAATTAATTTGTTACTGATAATCCCCGCCCACAGATTAACTGAAAACCTGTGTTGGAAATTATTACGCTGAACTACCTTCGGATTGTCATTAGCCCAATAGTGGGTACTGTGAAAATTAAGAGCTCCATTTCTGGTGAAAGTCGCCTCATCAGTCCAGAGAATTAATGGAAGCAAGTTTTCATTATTAATGATCCACTGAGAAAATTCGATCCTACGCATAAAATCTTCATTTCTTAAGTTTTGTACCCTCTGATAATGATAAGGATAAAGGCCTTGGATAGTGACCATTCGTGAAAGCTAAAATGAGAGCTTTGGATTAGTTTTAATAAACGTTTCTTACATTTCTCATTATGTACTGTTGTTCGTGGAATATTAGTGGCTCTTGACACTGTGCGGATGCTGATATTAGGATGATCATCGGCATTTTCAGAATTATAATCATTTGGTGGCCTTCCTTGACCGCGCAATTTTTGAACAGATCCATTTTGCGTCTATGGACCGTAGAAAATATTCTACGTCCAGGTTGCCTCCGATTGGTATCTACTGCTAGCTCGCTATTATTAAAATTTTGCATTTTTTAATTTTTTCTTATATATCAATACTGCACCGTAAAGTGAAAGCAAAAATTTGTCAAATTAATTCAAGTAAACAAACGGTTGTTTTCATGGCCTACCTACCTATTCATGTAATCCTTTTCTATTCTTGAGATTTATATAATAAAATTTTAAAATCGATTTTTCTCGAAAACGAAGCATTTTATCGAAGTAAATCAAGAGTACATATTTTTTTGTGAAAAACTCATATCTATGAGTTTAAATGTTTAAATTTTACACTCCTGACTAAATTTTTCAAACAGTTTTCGTTAGAACATTTATTGAATGTCCAACATACCAAAATTCATAACGATACTTTAACTGGTTTTAGAAATATTTTGAAAAATATGATCTGAAGCCCCTTTTAGGGCGGCCTAGCTCCCTTAGGAAGCATCGACCCTTGTTTATAGGAAAAAGTAATCTTATATTTGTTCATAGAATCTACTGCTAAAGTATTGCACACTAATTATGAGACACCATGTATATGCCAGGCCACAGGGCAAAAATAAGAAAGAACGACCAAGGAAAATATGAGTAGAAGGTGTAAGATTAGCTGCAACCAGAACAAACAATATGGGAGGAAATCAATATCATGTGATATGCTTATGGAAGCAGGAAGTATGTTATATCGCGCGACTTCGGAGTTAACTTTCAAGCACTAAAGTCACACAGCGCGCTATATGCTACATACAAGTCCTGTCGACTCAGTTGTCATCAAGATAAAATGTCATTGGAAGAAGTAATCGCATTTTTAAAGTATTAAACCAATTCAAATAAGTTTTCCCAAAATTACATCAATGTGTTCTTTGATACCAAAATCTAGATATGTATGCAAAACATACCCAACCAAAACCAAAAGCATAATACTTCTAATGACTATCTATAACTATCTAAGGATTGTTCAAAATAATACCAATCAATCAACAATTTCTGTAATTTATAATACAGTTAATTTTATTAATTCGGCAAATCAATTTGATGAGATAGTACTTACCAACTCGGACCTTGTGGACAGGACTAGCATCAGCAAAATATGCCAACAATATGAGCAGCGCCCAACACTTCATTATGATAATGTGGTGAATAAATGAGTATAATACATGTAAAATCAATGTTTATATACTCCAGACATGCTGGTTGTTCAGTAGCGTGTAGTTTTAATTAATAATAATTTGTAAGGATGTTTACAAAAATATTATTCGTTTTCTCCAGAGCATTTCTCTTAATTATGAGTTGACATACATATAATGTTTAATTACAACTTCATTAATAATGTGCATAAATGTCTAGTTATCACCATCAGCGATATTAGCGTTTGACCCTGCTATTTAGGAATCCAATGGGTGTTATCCACCACTGTGTATAACACAACCGCTTGTTTTCTTTTGCTGATAACTTTTATAATCCTCCTATCTATATCCTATATGATAAATTCCGTATAAAACATCATAATTGTTTACAGAAAGTAAATGTTCACGGGGATTTTTTAAAATATGAAATTAGGCCTTTAAATACTAGACGGAAAATGTTATTTTAAACAAAGATTTCTACTTGGTTTCCTGACTTAACGAAAATATTTCAAAAGACACTGTTTTTCAAGTCCTAATTAGACTTGGCACAAATTTTTAGAATATTGATTGAAATAATGTCACAGAATATATTTTCCTCATTTCCAGTTGCAAGGGAAAATAATGTTTGCGACATTCTTCTTGAAATGATAGTTTTTAAAGTGTTTCAATTAAAATAAAGACAGTATGATCCCTTCGTAACAGTTTTCCTAATATTGTTTTGGTTATTATTTCTCTTTGTCTAGAAAATAAAATGTTAAAAGTTATTTAAAATCTTTATTATGAAGGGATGGAGTTTTCCTTCAAGTAATTAATATCTGTTTATAACCTACATCTATAATCACATTTAGTACACACTTATGAAAAATCAGTCACTTTAACACATTTTTTTAAATTATTTATGCTTTGGAGGGCAATCTTCTATTTTGATGCAGTCCCCATTTCCATCTCTGGCATAGCCCTTCACACAGTAACATTTATCATTACACCTAAAATTTACAATTGGACAGGGTTCTCCTAGAGTCGCACACTCGGTCTGACAAGCGCTGCCACAATTGTATACCTCGTTCGGTCTTGTGCAGTTCTTCCATACCAAGCCTAAAACGTTTAAATTCAGTTATTGATTTCATTTTCAATACAAAATAATATAATAAAAGCAAGTATTAAAAGATTCATGAAATTAATTATGATCTACACAACCTAATCTAGCAACGATCAAGGCCAGGTTGCAGTATGGGTAATACATGCCTGAACTGTAGAAGTATATTTGGTGGAGACAGAATTAAAAAAAAACAATAGTTTCTACGTGTAACCACCATTAATTTAATGAAGGTCTTTCGAGTCAGATATCATTTGAGATATCACTGTAATTTAAAATTTATAAAATGTCATATTTAACTAAAAATGTATCTCTCAAAAAATTAAAGTTGCATTTACAGGACAAAATAAGTATAATTATAATATAAGCATACTACTGTATAATACATAAAGAAAGCAAATAAATTAACAGAATAAAAAATAAATAAACAGGAAAGAGGACAAAAGCAAAACCTTTATTGAAAATTATTGAAATAATCGGACGCAGTGGATACTATAAGTATTTATAAAATACTTAAGTATATAACCCAAACATTGTATTAAAACTGTATCTCATATAATAAAGTACATTTATTTCAACGAGATTATACTCGTACTTACCCCCAGGTGGTAACTTGTGGGCAAAACTTTCATGGGCGAAGTATGCACAAAATACAAGAAGCAGCCAAAACTTCATTGCGATAATATGATTAATATAATAGCTCAGTCGATATTTATATATTCTCCACGTGCTGATTAATTATTCTTGGTAAGCACCAGTGGCGGATAGTTGTTCTTAGGTTTCTCTTGTAATGGAAATTATGTAAATATTACTTGTCTTGATTTGTCTTTTGTATTCTTCATAATTTTTGGGTAGAATTACATGTACCTTTTTATAATTAATGTTAGAATAGTTTGAACTGAATCATTTGACTTCAATACTAACTGTCCACTAGATGTTATACGCCACTGTGACGGTTACAAGTTAAATTTCGTGCTACCTTTGCTGTTCTCGTTTCAGATAACCTGTACGACCTTTCGTCATTCACGGGGAATCCTTCTTCTCCAAATACACGATAAATTCCGTCAAATACGTCATAGTTGTTCGTAGAAGGTGAATGCTAAATGATTGTTTACTATTTACGAACTGCTTATTATAATATAAATATACCCCGCTGTGGTAAACTTTGGGAGTTTAAATTATGTGAAATACAAGTCATAATTTTATTATTTTCCGCACAAAACATAGTGAAATTTCATTCAATTCGTCCACTCTGCTACATTAGTGCAATTCAAATTTTATGAGTGAAACAATTGCGGCAGAATTAAGTAATTTGAGTAATTTTACTCAGATGTGAATTTCTGACAATCGTTGAGTGAGTAACTTTTTATTCTGTTCTGCACATGTAAGAACAATTAGGAATTAACATTTTCCCTAATACGTTCCAAGTTTAACTAATATTGAGCAATTTTTCACTCATGCAGAGAGGTTTATATTAACTAAATATTGAGTGAAATAAAAAAATCATAAATGATTAATTTGGATATACAGAATACTGAAGTTAATTAAACCCCATGGAAGGTGTCCAGAAAAGCAAAATCGCTACATTTTTAAAACATTTTAAAACACCTTTTTAATATTTGTATTTCGAATAACTTAATTAAAAAAAAAACTATTGACGTTAATTTAAGACATTTATTTATTACAAATAAAATGTATTTTTTTTATATACATAATACGTAATTATAATGAATATAGTGGATGTTTACCCACTGGAAACATTTGTTTATTAACAGCTGGTCTTTTAATATCTCAAATTATTTTGATTTTGGGGGGCAGTTTGCTATTTTTATGCAGACTCCGTCTGTATCTCTTGCATACCCATCCACACAGTAACAGCTATCATTGCATCTTATATTGACAATTGGACAGATCTCTCCAAGAGTGGCACACTCGGTCTGACAAGCGCTTCCACATTTATACACCTCGTGTGGTCTCGTACAATTCTGCCATTCTATGCCTGAAAAATTTTTTTTATTTATACACTTTTTATTTTAAATTTATTTTTATTTTTAAAATTTTTTTGCTCCTATTTTATTCAAATAAAGTCTACACTTTTTTACAAAAACGAAATTTGTTAAAAGAATGAGCTGGCTAACCTCTAAAAATTCACAAACACACACACAAACCAAACAATGCATAAATAAATATGTTAATAATCAGGTGTTTTGAAAAACATATATATTTCATTACTAATTTTTGTATTTCTTTTTATTTAAAGGCTTTAAGCTTTCAAATACAATAAAAAATACTAAAAATTGTCTTTAATTAAGACAAATTTCGTTTTTTGTAAATGCCATTCCAAAATTTCATTTGTGCTCTAAATCAACAGTGAGAAAGGAGGAATTAAAAAAATCATTAACAGTAAAAGTTAACAACTAAATTAGTGGAAACTATTAAAACTATAGACAAGTACAAATAAAACTTAGAAGTAAGGTAACTTATGTTCCTAATAATTTTATAAATTCTATCCAAATTGGAGTCAGTAGTATTACAATACACATTATTACAATCCGTATAGATTATTTAAATTTAAGTTTGTATGCTGGGTTATTCAACTAATTAAACTTGCATTTCTATGTAAGGAACATGGAAATTTAATATCAGATTAGATGAGGGCAGTCTACTAAGTTCTTCAATGGTTTAAATAATATAAAATCTGAATGAATTCTTCTATGTTTTAGTGAAATGATGAAAAACTGTTGTTGTGTAGCTGAAATATCACTAACATTGTAGATACCATTCACTCTAAACTTAAGATAACGAACAAATCTATTTTGAATCATTTCTAATCTTATTTTATAGATGTTATAGATTGGATTCTATGATCTAATTCTCAGAAACGCACTTTATCCTTTGGTTGGTTATATAATAATTAAATAAACAAGAAAGTTTTTATTGAAAGTAATAGAGTGACATTTGTTAATATGTAAAATTTATTGCAATTTTGAATATTTTAGCAATTATCGAAACCGTGAAAAAATGTTTAGATCATCCGAGTAGAGCAAAGTGTTTAATACATTCACCTATGCCATAAGGAACAATAAAGGCCCAAGATAAGCTCCTTGAGGAACGCCAGATGTAATATAAATTGTTTTAAACACAATCCTATGTCGATGGTCTAATACGTAAACCAGCGCAAGAGTATGCCATGATCACAATTAGCTTAGTAACTCGTATCTTGTCAAAAACTTTATTGAAATCAATATACGCACTATATACACTTTAAATAAGGTAAGAAAGATAGAAAAGAAGCCGTAATGTTCGGCTGTAATAATATTAAGATATTCAAAGTATAAGAAATTAATGACTCTCATATCTTATTATACACACAGTTCACTAATGTCTTGATAATAATAATTATTCAGTAGTTTCTGTCACCGGTATTTTTATAAATCGGAATAACAAGTGCCACTTTCCATATTGACTAAAATTCTCATTTTCCAGTCCATATTGTATATAAATAAAGCTTTAGCACTGTAACTTTTGATAATATAAAACGATATGCTGTGAGGACAAGCACCTTTATTGACATTTAATTTGCTAGGTTTATTTCCATCAGTACACATCTTGCTCAATTAGATTAGACATTTTGAAAAGACAATCTGATGATAAGGTTCACCAATAATTTGAAATTGAAAACATTTATTTGAATTAGTCGAATACCTTTAAAATAAAAGTCAAAGGTAATATTCATTTGACTACAAATCTAATCGTGGATATATGACACTATGTTTGTTTGAGACACATATTTTGTTGTTTTAATCAACATTTTTCGTTTGCAATACTAAGCAATTGAAAAAATTTCATTATTTAATCCAATAATATGTTATATGAAACAAATGTGTCAATAAAGCCAAGAGGTTTGCATCAAAGGACAATAATAAGAATCAGACACAAATATGTATTCATGTCTTTCTACGTTTATCTTTCTGTAAACGAAAGGCGAAGAGACGAAAAATAAAAAGAAAAGATCATTTCGGCTACTAGTGAATAACGGCACACTGAGGAAGCGTTAAATATTTAGAAGATTTTAAAAAAATGTATTAAAATCTAATGATTATGTAATTATCAATAAATTACGAAAATAGTTATCATAACATCCAAATAATATCGTTAATATCTGATATGTGTAGGGAAGGTAACCTGTATACCAACTATATGTTAGTGACACAAAATATTTCTTTGGTTTAGAATTCTTTGGTCCCATACATATTCCAAAAAGGTCTTTAAAGTTATTATTCTTTTTAGTATAGTTGACACATAATTTATTTTCATTGGCCAAGTGTTATAGAGCAAATACTATTAGGAATTAAGCATATTAAATTAATTGTTATGTTCTTAATTGCATCTCTGCTTATGAATATATTATTTATCATTTATTTAATCTTAGAAAGATAGCCAAGTGATATTTGAGTCCTAAAATTATCTAAAGAATAATCTGATGTTATCACAAACCATGTACGTATTTGGAAAAATAAATGTCAACAAATATGTTAGCGCTGATTGAATTCGCAGAAGTGATGCTATTTTTAATTACTACACTTTATCTACCTCCTGAAATATTATTTATATGGTTACCTACAACTGCCTTTATGCGACTTGAAATAAATATATGGTAGTAAGAATGTATAGTCGGTATGGGGCTAGAAAAAAAAGGTGTTAATTTTTTGACTAGGTCAAAGTTTAGATTTTATCTTCTTCAGAGGTATAAATAACAATAAAGAGGCAAGAATATACAGGGTCGAAAAGTCCCCATGGTTCATCGGCCGTTACGTGAGAGCGATAAAGCAAGTCATAGAAATCCATGCGATAGAGAAGGATGGCTATAATGAAGGCGTCTCATAGTCACCGCCCGTTTCGCCCTTCCATAAATAAGATCCACTTCCACTTGTAATTCAGCGACCGGTGGTCAACTTTGTTTTCGTCGTTTGCCTTTTCTGTAATAGATGTCACTACTTATACAATTCCGACTTCGTATTCCGATATGTTAATACAATCCGTTAACAGAGGGCAGCACGATTTGTCTAAGGTGAAGCGCAGCCCTAGAAAGAGTGATGCCAGATCTACAGATTTTTTTGGAATTGGGGAAATAGGGAATTTTGCTTTATTTCTTGGGATTTTTAAGTCATTTTAAAAGGTATATTTAAATAACAACTAAATGAACTTTAAATGCAGCTGAGCACTATACTCCATTTGAATAACTTCTCAGTAAGGGAGACAAGGTTACTAGATTTACAAACAGAGGTATCTATTAGCTACTGTAAAAAGTTTTATTTGTTACGCGTTGTGCTGCCCTCTGTTAACGGATGGTATTAACATATCGGAATACCGAAGTCGAAATTGTATAAGTAGTGACATCAATTAAAGAGAAGCCAAACGACGAAAAAAAGATGACCACCGGTCGCTGAATTACAAGTGGAAGTGGATCTTAATTGTTGAAGGGCGAAACGGGCGGTGACTATGAGACGCCTTCATTATAGCCATCCTTCTCTATCGCACGGATTTCTATTACTTACTTTATCGCTCTCACGTAACGGCCGATGAACCATGGGGACTTTCCGACCCTGTATATGTAGAACATGATTCAAAAGAAAATAAAAACAATATTTAAAACATATTCCAATATTAAAAAAAACAAAAAGGTATTAAAAATATTAAATATTTCAATTAATACATTTTTTTCTTTTCACGAAACCATGCAATGTTTGGTCGTCTTCAGAACAAATATTAAAATATGGTGTTGTCAATTTACAAAACACAAAACTTAATTAATTTGTCAGTAAATGCATATGTCAATACAACTATTTAGGTACAAAAACAACTAATGATCGGAACTAGCATCTTCTTAGATAACAAATTCCGCCAACGCCAAGCTAATGAAGCTTTTGGGCTGAAATTTTTACCACTTATTAAGGGTGCAAAAGGCTTCAAGAATTGTGAATTACAAGTGTCTGCGATGAAAATTGCATTAATTATTAGCAACTGAAAAAAGCGGACAATTTCGACCATTTTTTAGCTCTTGCGCATAAACAAATTATCGGAATTTAATCGGACTTGTCTTATTTTACAGATTTATTAAATACCTACCTTTTTTGTATAAACCCTTTTTCTCTATGAATAACAGTTTTTTTACGCGAGTCAAAAAACCACTTTTCCATAATTTTTACCATTGTTTTAACAAAGTTTCCCAACTCGAGTTGATTTTTTGATATTTTGTTTATAACACGTTTCTGAACAATATTCCGCAGAGAAACTTCAATAGTATTTTTTTTCCCGAAAAAAAGCTATAATGAGTGGCCTAAACGTTGACAACAACAAAATGATAATGTATTGGGTTATCATTTCATTATCGTTTGATAAATGTATTAATGAAACCATCGTACTTTTTGTTTATGGAATTATTGTGCATCTTTATACAAAGCACATCTCTTGATAGTTAAATTCATTATCAAAGATCTTATTCGATTCATCATAAAATAAAAATTATAGCTGTGTTTAAAACGATGGGATGCTAGGCTGTTTGTTCCTTTTTGTTTATATGATTTTGTAAGATTTTTTATGAGAATTGATTATGTATTTTAAATATATTTGTCAAATATAAATCCCTGAACAATTAATACTCGAAACCCATAAACTACATTAGATGGGTACAATTTTTCAAGTTTATGAAGAATACAGTTGATCAACAGTTCTGCTATGATAAAAATCAAACATAAACGTTTTACGTACATAACTTTTAGGTTATTTTTAGGTTATTTTAACATATTTTATGTTCTGCGTTCTGTGTCATTAGTACTATTATTGTTAATTCGATTATTGTTAAGGACGACAGTGTAAAGGGAAACGGGATAATTGTTCCGTTATGATCTTTGTTTAAATTGCCAATTATTATCCTTGTGGAAAGACAGTGTCAGAATTCTTTTGTAGGTATCTATATCTATGGTTTTCACAATTTCTAATTTCGAACCGAGAGAGCTGCACCAACCAAAGGACAGAACATAGCTAATACAATGCAAAACTTCGTCTTAATGTTGAAAATGTTGTCACCGCCGTTCTTGGTGGTAAAAATTCAAAATATTTGGAATTATTCCATTTTTGTGGCTGAAAACATACATAAGTATTGTATTGTCGAAACCAAGAGAGTTGCACGAACAAAAATTGGACAGGACATAGCTAATACAATGCGAAACATCGCCTTAATGTTAAAAATGTTGTCACCGCCGTTCTTGGTAGTGAAAATTCGAAATGTTCGAAATTATTTAATTTTCGTGACTGAAAACATACATAGGTACATTTTTTTAAATAATCCCTCTTCATCACTAAGACAATAATGTTACCTTTATCGGATCATGTTCCAAATTTATGTTCACACTTTCCGTTCTTGCCGAAAAAGGTGTGCCTTCTCAAACCTTTTAATTATTATCCCTTCTTTATAATCTAAATAGGTTTTTGTAAATGATTTACCACTATCTTGGTAGTGCAGAATATTTTTGATACTTGTTTGTTATATATTCTTGAAAAATTATTATTTTGCAATTTTGGAATATTGGAATATGTTTTAAATATTGCTTTGATATTTTTTAAATCTTGTTCTGCACATATAGTTTTATCTTTTTATATTGTTTATAGCTCTGCAGAAAATTTTAAACAAAATCGTAATATTGGCTCATTCAGAAAATCTAAACCCTTATTTATGTCCTTTTCCCACTATACATTCTTATTACACTATCTGAAAGTCGCGAAAATTGTTTGATAAACAATATTCTTCATTAATTTTAACATTTTAGTGCGGAAATACATATTAACAGAAGACTATTTTAAGATTTACAAGTGCAATTAAAATTATTCAAATGTAATTTTTAATTATAGTGATTAACTGAGATTTTATATGTACTTACCTCCAGGAGGCAACGTGTGTGCGAAACTGTGACTAACAAAATAAACAAATACAACCAGAAGCAGCCAAGACTTCATTGTGATGGTATGATGAACATTAATATAAAAGCATTGTTTATATACATAATACACATGCTGGTTATCCTTGTCGAACTTCAGTGGTGCGAGTTATCGGCATACAAGGTCAAGCCGACTACTTTAAGTTAGTAACATAGGGAACCAATTGAGATAACAATTTCAAAATTGCTAAATAATCGTGGTAAGTATTTAAAATATAACACCTGCATCTTTTCATTCATAGTTTCGTACAAGTTGTGTAATGTTTGATTCTCCTCTTTGTGATACTGTAACATTCTTTAAACTTCAGCTTTTTGAATTAAACATAGCTAGGCAGTTTGCCTTGAATCACAAAGAACAGACAGAGGGAACACCCGGTATATACAAGGTGATTTTTAATTCAGTACAAAGAAACGTAGGTCTAAAAATGCTTAGTTTTCGATATACGTTAAAATTTTTTATTTTTTTGATTTTTTAGGAATAATTTCCAAACAAATTTGAATGTTGGCATAAAACTTGGGGGACGGGTTTTTTTAGGATGCAAAATTTAAATATGTCATTGGTTTTAATGCTGCTTGTAGAGGGCGCCACCTATAAGGATACGCTTAAATTAAATTTGCCCTAACTTTTTTACTACTCTGTACATTGACGTTTCGAATTAGTAAGTAATTAAAAAGTAGTTAATATTTAACTGAAATAATAATAATTTATTATCTAAATAGGCAAAAGTAGTTTTTAAAAGCTGAAGGTCAAAATTATTAAAACAAAATCATCATCCGTCAGTTAGAACCTACTAGAAGATTTTAAAATCCGACTTTTGATTTAGCGAATTACAGGAAATCAATTGAAATTTTTTTGCCCGAAAACGCCAGCAAATACGAAAACATTGCAGGAGACAAAAAAGTTTCTAACTGATCAGGGAATTAAACCCTTAATCTAGAAAAGGCCAGTGTGTCATACCGGAAGAAAGTTCGGGGAGCTGAACAGAGGCCCGACCCCAGAAAAAGTATGACTGTATATCGTGACGACTATTAAGCAAGGCCAGTGATGCAGGTAATTTAAGTTAGCCCTTATTCCAAATTTGAGCTACATATCTCAAAAACTGTGAGAGATACAAAGACAAACATAAAAATTATTGAAATTTAACACCCTGTATGATGGTAACGAAGCATTTCCGGACATATTATGGTTATATGAATTTTTTTACTTATAATCATGCGTAGATTTACCCCGTCCTCCCTGAATAAAGACAAAGATATACTATCGATAAAATACCAGTTTCTCCTGAAAGCAAATATTTATTTTTTTACGGAAATCAAGTAATGTAGGTATTTCGCATTTGTTGAACTGAAGAAAAAGAGCATCCATTATATATTCATGGTGCGGGTGACCTCATAGCCATGTATTTTATCTAAAATATTTTTCAGTGCAATAGTAGAACAGTATAATATTCTACTTTACAGTTACGAACCTTGACTCACCATTTGCTATCACAATAGATAATGGTTATCGTAACCTGTTCCTTGAATAATTTACCACCTACTTATTTTTATAAAATGTTTACTTTTTGTAAGAATAAAACCCCATAAATATAGAAGTAGTTTGACTGGATTTAACAGATTCGTGAACTGTCTGAATCTGTGAACGGTATTTATTTGAGCAGACCAAAATTAAAAATTACTAAAACAATAAGTTCAAGACTATGTTAAAACACATTTAGTTTTACCGGTTCATCATTGGTATAATTTTTCACAACATTTCATTCAACCATACAGCGATTGGATTATCTCTGTAGATGCAATGTGTGTTAGTATACTGTAAACGAATCATTATGATCGATGACGCTAAACCGACATTTGTGCATTTTTCAGTAGCGTCCATCATCCACGTCTGTTATTGTTTTAATTCATTTTCTGCCATCGTTTCATTGTTTCTTATTTGCTATGTACCTTTACACACATCTAAACTTTTTTAAAGTTAATAATATTTTTATTTCAAAACGTATTATGGAACTGGAAGTCAAGAAACAACAACAACAACTGTGACACTTTCTTAAACCGAATAAATCAGAGTCCGTATCAAAGTTGCTTCTCAAACAGGTATTTTTTTGCGCAAATTTCCTTAAATTTGGTTTCCGTCTCTGAAACACTTCTTTGAAAGTTTTATTTGAATTTGAGATTAGATTGAAGTATAGTTAATATCCTACCCTTTTCATTTTAGGGTTTTTACCTGGAACATGTCAAAATTTTTTAAAAACAACTGTATTTACACCCGTATAAGGCAACTGTTGTGCAGGAATTACTTCCCATAGATTATGGAAGACGATACTGTGAATGATATATAGAAAACATGAATAACACAGGTCAACAAGGGTCAAGAAGCAGACACACTAATATACATTCCCGAACGATTTTGGTGCGCTGAATCCGAGATATCCTAACCTAAAAGTGCAAAAAACTCTGTTTTTCGTCATATTTGAGGTTATGTATGCCATCTATTCTTTAAAAAAAATACATATAATTTAAAAGTACAAGGCTCCTCCTTTCGAATGCCGTTGAGTTTGCTCAAATACCTTTTTTTTTCACTCGCAAACTCCAAATCCACAAACCCACAAACCTCAAACCCACAATCCCTAAACCCACTAATCCCAATCCCACAAAACCCGAACCTATCAAACTCCAAGATTACAAACCCCAAGCCCACCAACTCCAAACCCACAAACCGTATGGATATGAAGTTTCTGAATTGCAATCGACTACTTGATGTTTAAGGGATCCTTAGTAGATTTTCGCATATTAAGAAACTGAGAAACTTAAAAATTTCAACATCGTGATATCTCAACGAAAAAAAAGATATTTGAGCAAACTTAACGGCATTCGAAGGAGGGAGCCTTGTACTTTTAGATTCAATGTATTAGTTTTTTTAAAAATAATAGATGGCATTACTACATAACCTCAAATATGAGGAAAAACAGTGTTTTTTGCACTTTTAGGTTAAGATATCTAAAAAACCTGACGTGATAGAGCAATTCTGCTGCCAGATTCGGATTCGGCGCACCTAAATCCTTCGAAAATATATATTCAAGTTTCTGCTTCCAAAAAAAAGTTAAATTTTGTTGGTCTGTGTAATAGTTTGTTGAACTTGTCGTTTTTTAGTAATGAAGCATGGTTTGACATACCAGGTTGAGTAAATAGCCAAAATTATACAGGGTGTTTGGAAAAGTTGGTACAAAATCTAAGGAGGTGAAAGTAGAGCCAGAAATAGTAAAAAAGGTCATATAAACATTGGTCCTCCGGATCACCGTTACTGAGATATGGCCCTCCAAAGGGATAAGACGTAAGGTTTGTAATAGTTTTGGGATAGCTATTTTTCTATTATATCATTAATAATGCATTTACAATTCAAACTTGAATCCTATTTTATTATATTATCCTATTTTTAGTGGCAGTATACTCTGATTAGTAATTGCACAACATATTGTATGAGTTTATGACTTTATAGCCTCCTCTATTTCTAAATTTATTTATATGTCTATTAGTTTTGTCTGTTCATAATTGCCTAATAGTCCAAGCATTCTGTCACGGATTACTGTTAAATTTGCAGAAATTATTACCTGGACAAAAAAAATATGACCGTATAGAAAATTAAATTATAAATTGAGTTTCTTGATCTTTAAACTCGATCCAATATGGCGAACATGGTTAAAAAAATCGCAAAGTTGAAAAAAACGGTTTTTCTAAAATAACTAAAAAAATATAGCACGGATTGAAAAATTTTAAATGAGAAAGTTGTAGGTTTTAAAAAGATCTATCGACTGATTTTTTGAAAGTATCGATTGCTTTGTTACTTTTCGAGATATATCGAAAAAACCGTTAAAAATCTTCTCTTTTCTCTTCTTCTATAACTCGTTTACATTTACGTGCCCATATTTGCTATTTACTGCAAGCATAGCCCGCGGCAAGCCAAAAAAGTACATTTTTGAAAAATTTAAAAATATTAATTATTTTTCGAGATATATCGATTTTTTGAAAAAAAGGCGCTCTCGAAAATTGGCTAGATCTTCTCAGCGGATAGCCCTACAGTAACGATTTTCGGTTTATTTTCTTCGTAAAGAGTTATATTATCATGCTGTTAAAAAATGTTGACGATTTTATTAATTTTAAGGATCAAAAAATGACTTTGAATAAGTTGCACTTTTTTGGATATGTTTTTTCCAAATTACTATTTCAATTTTTATTTTATGAAAATGACTTTTAAAGAAAGAAAACTAAACATTTACGTGTCTATTTTGCTTCTAAGGCGAAAATGCTATAATATTCGTGTTTAGCTACCCCAGATTAAGTACAAAAAAATAATAATAATTGAAATAGTTATTTGAAAAAAACATACCCAAAAAAAGTGCAACTTTTCAGTCATTTTTTGATCCATAAAATTAATAAAATCGTCAACATTTTTTAACAGCATGATAATATAACTCTTTACGAAGAAAATAAACCGAAAATCGTTACTGTAGGGCTATCCGCTGAGAAGATCTAGCCAATTTTCGAGAGCGCCTTTTTTTCAAAAAATCGATATATCTCGAAAAATAATTAATATTTTTAAATTTTTCAAAAATGTACTTTTTTGGCTTGCCGCGGGCTATGCTTGCAGTAAATAGCAAATATGGGCACGTAAATGTAAACGAGTTATAGAAGAAGAGAAAAGAGAAGATTTTTAACGGTTTTTTCGATATATCTCGAAAAGTAACAAAGCAATCGATACTTTCAAAAAATCAGTCGATAGATCTTTTTAAAACCTACAACTTTCTCATTTAAAATTTTTCAATCCGTGCTATATTTTTTTAGTTATTTTAGAAAAACCGTTTTTTTCAACTTTGCGATTTTTTTTAACCATGTTCGCCATATTGGATCGAGTTTAAAGAACAGGAAACTCCATTTAAAATTTAATTTTCTATACGGTCATATTTTTTTTGTCCAGGTAATAATTTCTGTAAGCATTTCTCTATAATGCTTGGACTATAATGATTCCTATTGCCTATTGCCTATTCAGTAAATGGTAATGCAAAATAAGAACGAACATGTCTACAAAAAACAAAATTTATTATTACAAAATATATTAGTAAAACGCTTCAAAAGTGACTTACAATAACAGTACATTTGTACAGGCGAGTTTTGGACACAAAACGTCTTCGGCGCATACCTGTCCAATCTGCTAGTTTCCATGAGAGTCATAGTTTTGTCAGTTTGATCCCTTCCATAAATAATTCTGATGGTAGCCTCGAAAATAGCCTCAGGATTTGTCACTACTCCGATTAAAATATTCTCCTCCACATCCTGTTTCACGATCAAGGACTTAGCATGAGAGATCCTATCCAAAAAGTACCTGGAACATCCTCTAGAAGCATTGCCGTAAGACCGCACAATTTTGTTAATCTCCTCCACAAAGAAGTCGGCAATTTCTTTGAGACGCGCTGAGTCTTTGTTTATTTTTTCGTATGTGGAGCAAGTGCAAAAGTGCTGAGGTACGCCTGAGCTGACGCAAGTTCTGGTGCTATCCATTGGTTTGAGGAGGGATTGGCATTGAGGACAGCCTTGACTTGGAGACTCGATAAAAGTCTTATTTGATAAGGCCAGTATGTGTTGCAGTGTCATGTAAATATCGTATGGCGTCGTGAGTTTGTTTGAATTTTCCACGAGGTTTGTATACTGGACTGCATGGTTCATTCTGCAAAATACGTTACAGATAATACTGGGTTTATTTATTTAAGAATGTCGATCAAATATAAAAAACAGGTTATTTACAACATTAGTCAGTGGAGCAACTTTTTTTTTCAATGTTCACCATAGTGGCAGATGCAGGTCACTATCTTTAAGTATTCTGATGGTTTCTCGAAGGAGAATATCAATTATTGATACTACACCAGATTTCAACGTTGCCAAAGAAGACTTAAGAGTTTTAGCAACAAAATAAACCTAGCTTTTCCTTTCTCATACTGACCTGAATCTATGCGGTATCCAAATATAAATGAACGGCAGTCTCTCTTCCATCCAGCCGGTATGTGTCAGTCTTATCCTCCCAAATCTAAACCCATGGTCGCTCAAAAATATCACAATGGTATTGTCCAAATATCCACCGCTCTCTAACTCTTCAAAAAATTCTACGAAGTCGTCGTCCATCGAACTGGGACAGTTCACGTCTTCGTGACTGAAGGAGTTCATCCAGAAAAGTCCGAAACCCGGCGTCGAGTCCTTTATGGCAGAGATGAAATCCTTTATCAGGACTTGCATTCGGATACCCGTTTTCTCAGGACCAGTGCAGTGCGCTTTTAGACATAAATATTTCGTGCTTAAATCATCTGCAGCTAGAAAATATGGACGGAAGTAGTAGTCTGTAGGAGGGTCGATGAAACCCGCTTTGATTCCGTTGAATGTTGCTGAAATAATAAAGATTTGTTTGTACATGCAGAGATTAATAATTACAGAAAAATCTAAAACTAATGACCTATACACCCATAAAAGCAAAACCCTAAAATCCATAAACACATTTTGGGGTTGCTGGGTTTTGGAGTCTGTGGATTTTGAGGACCATGGATTTTGGGGTCTGTGGATTTTGAGGTTCATGGGTTTTGCGGCTTATGAGTTTAGCGGTTTATGGATTTTGGAGTTAATGGATTTTGGGATTGATGGGTTTACGTGGTTATGGGTTTTAGAGTTTAGGTGTTTAGGGATCTTAGGAATTATGGGTTTATAGGTTATGAGATTTATGATTTTTAGTAATTTGATTGGTGATTGGGTATTGGTTTTGTGGGTTATTTATGAATAATGGCTTGTTCTGAGTTAAAAAGAAGCCGCGACAATACGCGGCAGGTGATATTATTACAATATATTTCTTTAATCACATTAAAAAGTCATATATTTTATGCTAGAAGTGCGGAAAACATAAAATTTGGCAAGGCTTTTTTTAAATAGGAAAAAAGTCATTAAGTCTTGAATCACCCACAAATCTAATGATCCATAAATCCAATAAACCCGATTACCCATTCACCTAATAACCGAAAAACATAAAACTGATGACCTATAAACCCATAAACACATTTTGGGGTTGCCAGGTTTTGGAGTCAGTAGATTGTGAAGATCGTAGATTAAGGGGTCTGTATATTTTGAGGTTTATAGGTTTTGGGGCTTATGAGTTTTGGTTTTATGGATTTTGGAGTTAATGGATTTTGAGATTGATGGGTTTTGGGGTTAATGAGGGTTTAGGCGTTAATGGGTGTTAGACTTTACGTGGTTTTAGAATATTTAGGAATTTTAAGAATTATGGATTTATAGGTTATTACGTTTATGATTTTTGTTTATTAGGATAATCGGGTAATTGATTTTATTGGATTTATGAATTATTGGGTTTGTGGGTTATTTGAGACTAAGGGCTCTTCCTAATTTAAAAAGAAACCTTGATAAATTTCATATTTTGATATTTTCCGCACTTTCAGCATAAAATAAACTTTTGAAAATGATTAAAGAAACTTTTATTGCCATACCATCTAACCTGCCGCGTGGCTTGAATTGTTTCTATTTTTGCCCACTGTGGCGCTACCGTATTTTTTCATTTATAAATAGAATGCGTTCATACCTATTCTCGGCGTGTCTTCAGCATATGCCGTACTATAATTACGCTTCCTGTATTTGTTCCAAATAAAGTGTTCACAATTATTCAACGCTGATATTTTATAAGGATCGCAGGAATTCACTGCCTGGGAATAATTCATTCCGGTCAACACAGCCATCAGATTGGGATAAGTATTATCAGCTATCTTATTGTATCCCCCCAGATTAATCCAACTGTTCCTCTCGCAAAATTCGAAAGTACGAGGCATGGATCTTATGAAGTTTGACCTGGACACGCCGTCGATACCTACGAGGATGACGCTGGGGTCGTCTTTGTTAGATACCACCCATTTTGGTGGTTGCAATGTGGCGTGGATATTTTCATACACTTTGTGAAGAAAGTTTGAGCATTCCACCTTCACAAAATTCTCATTTACAGTGACGCTGTCGTTGAAGTGGATGCAATCTGAAAAACTGAAAATATTACACAGGATGTAAGTTGAATATGTAAAAGTGTTCTAGGATCATTTTCAAAAGAAAAGTCGATGTGAATCTATGACCGAAACATCTTAGTATCCGAGTGTTAAATATTTTGAAAATTATAACATTTGGCAAATATTAATTAAGTAAAAACAAACAATTATTGAATTGCCAAACAAACATTTTTTGGGCGCTCTAATGCACCATAATATTTGCAAAGGATTGGTTATGAGCAGATATATTAGATTAACAGAATTTGGTGCAAAAGCATAGAAACTATTACTGTCGGAATAGCAATAGTTAATTTCGTCATAAAGTAGACATTTCTGATTTTCAAAATAAATTACTTATTCTTTATGTAAAAATTATTGAATTAAAATTAATTTTAGAGACTACTTATTATTTATATTAGTCACATTTAAAACTTTAAACGTAAGAAGTAAGGCATGTTTCAATATATTTTTTGTGTACAACGAAGAATATAAGATACACGGCAGCAACATTGCGAAGTATTGTTGAAACTAAATAAATGTGTGCTAATTAACCTACCTCAAGTTGTCATCAGGTTTAGGTCCTGTGGTGTTTCTTTTTATAATCGAATAACAACAATCGATTTTGAAGGCACTATAGTCATGCAACAGAGAGCTGTTTATGTTCAAAGTAACCGCATTATCAGTTCTTGTAACATATGTTAGTAAACCCCGATTTCGACAGGAGAGTTTTTTGATCTTGTAAACATAGTCTTTAATTTCATTGCTGAAGGGGTTTAAATCTTCAATTCGGCAGCCTGGAGTGTCGATTATGTACTTTCTAGCTAAAATTAGAAAACATGTATTATTACATTAACAAAATAATTGATACTAACAGAATTAAAATTTTTAATTGGACTCAATGTAAAAATTTATATAAAATGATGAGATGGCGCACTACACACTGTTGTTCTGGAAAATTTGGGTGCATTATATACAAGTACGTACATACAGGGTGGTCCGTTTTTCATGGCTCAACATTGGCATCTGAGAAACCGCAAGATATACAGGGGGCTTCAAATTAGAAAAAGTTACATCTTTTCAGGGTCATTGAAATAAAAGAAACATATCAAAGATATCTGCTGCTGTTCCTGAAATATTGTGAAAAAACTGAAAATAGCGATTTTTAGAAAATGCCACCTAGCGTCCTTATTTCACAACAGAAAGAGCTGAAATTTGGTACTGGGTGATAAGAAGATTCGACCAATCCATTTTCGCTAAAAGAAAATTTAAATTATGAAGTTTCAATTATCCAACATTCAATTGTTCTTTTTCTTATGGACGCCATATTGGATTTTGACAGTGACAGATAGAGGATAAAATTACGAACACATCAATGTGTAACACTACTATTTTATTTGAAAATTAACCCATAAAATTAAAGAAATTCAATAATATTAAATGACCGTATAATAGGACCGTTTCTTATTGATGGTAACCTTACTTCTCTGAAGTATTTAGATATTTTAAGGATAGAAATGGAGGAAGCATTCGATAATCTTCCCTTACATTACATTAGAAATTTAGAAATGTTTAAGCAAGATGGCGCACGGCCTCATAATTCTGCAATGGTGTTCCAATATTTAAATCGACGTTTTCCAAATAATTGGATTGGCGCTCATGGACCTGTAGCTTGGCCTCCACGGTCTCCATGCCTCAACCCTTTAGATTTTTTTCTGTGGGCTTATCTAAAAGATAAAATTTATTACTATCCCTGTGAAAAATATAGAAAGAGTTTTTGCTGCTTTTAGGTCTATTTCACCACAAAGTATTCAAAATGCTGTAGATAAAATTAGATTGAGGAGTGAGCTTTGTCTGCACGAGAATGGACGACACTTTGAAGTATTTATGTAGGATTTGTAGAATATTTGTGTATTTTGTGTTACTGAGTATTGATTTTTGTTTTATGTTAAGAACCACTAGATTTTATTAATTTTTAAAATAAATTATTGAATTTCTTTAATTTTGTGAGTTATCCTTCAAATAAAATAGTAGTGTTACACATTGACGTAAGTTTATCCTCTATCCTCTATCTGTTAGTGTCAAAATCCAATATGCTGTCCATAAGACAAAAAACAATTGAATGTTGCATAAATGAAACTAGTGGCCGTAGAAATTTTCTTTTAACGACAATGGATCCCTCGTACCTTCTTGTCCCCCAGTACCAAATTTCAGCTCTCTCTGTTGTGAAATAAAGACGCCAGATGGCTTTTTCTAAAATCGGTTTATTCACAATATTTCAGGAACCACAGCAGATATCTTTGATCTATTTGGTTTATTTTAATGATCCTGAAAAGGCGCAACTTTTTTCTAATTTGAGCTAACCTGTATATCTTACGGTTTCCAAGATGCCAATGATGAGCCATGAAAAATTGACCACCATGTTCCATGTCCAATGTAAATTAATGACCATACAATGTGGAACAGCCAAATGGTATAAATTCAGTATCCCATTGTGCATATTTATAAAAAGGATCCTGAGACACGTCGATTTTTGACTCTGAAATGACACCCTGCAACATAAAAATTTCATCCCTAAATTCAATCCCCTTCAAGTGGCAGTTGCAACCCTTAAATTTTTAAGTGGGAAGTTGGGGCTTCTGATACCTCATTCGAAAGGTCTTTCATTCTCTATTCAAAAATGCTACGGTTTTCATATTCACTGCAAAAATTTCCAGTAAAAAAATTAATTCATCTGCTTGACGAAATTCGCTACAGCAAACTAAAAGACACTTAATTTCAACGCAGAAGATGTTCAAAATGAGTTCCTTGAACGTCTCGGCAGTATCCTAATCGTAAATAAAAATGTTTTCCATCATCATAGAAAGAGATCTAAAGGTGTAAGGTAAGGAGAACATGCTGGCTATTCTAACGATCCTCGTCTCCCTACTAATTTAGAAATGTTAAGCCGAGGTATTGATTCGGTAATGTGGCGAGACCTCGGGCGGCAGATCTTTGCGAGGTCCTTGTTCTTTGTGAAATGTACGTAAATCGAATGTACGAGTAGATATTTCTGATGATTTAAGGGAAATGCAAAAGTTATAAATTTTGAGTTTTCAAATATTAAGAGATTTTTAAAATTCAAATTCATTTTTACAAGCTTTTATTCAACATGCCTTGTTAGTATGGGTCAAATCTTGCAACTGAATTTTAGAATAGTTATCCCCATCCGATTGAGCTGAAATTTTGCATATACGTTTAGTTTGGATAACAATGCACGGTAAGGTAAGTGACGTCATTCCAAATTCAATATGGTGGACTCCCAAAGATGTAAGATGTAACGGTTTCCTGAGAAGAATACAAAAATAAAATGACATTTTAAAAAAAATTATACATGAGCGAGGCCCCGGACGATTGCCCTGCTCGCCACCCCCTAAGGCCGCCTCTGGGTGACAGTGATATCGCGGTCCAGATGTGCAGAAACTATAGCATCATCGGAAGAGAACGTTGAATTTTTTCACTTACAAATGTCTCACCAAATTCAGTGAAGGTGTCAAATTACCTGAGCGTGCAAAAATGATAGTAACAGTCGTGTACTCACTGTCAAGAACATTTGTGGCAATATCCAATGAAGATCCATTTCCTTTATAAGCTTCGAAGACGAGGTATAAAACATTAAGCACAGCCATACCCACCAGGATTATTTTATAGTTATAAATCAAATGCATATCCATACTGACAAAGGAGCAAACGGTCAATGGAAGTGTTTCACGGATTTTGTGTGCATCTGACCATACGACATAGCTGCAACACGATAACAAACTGATAAATATAGGGAATGTTATTAGGGCGGCATGGCATGTGGATCAAATGAATATTACGCCATGGAGAAATTTTACTAATCGACTTAAATCTTAAAACTGTTAGTATAACCACATAATTTAATAACGGATATTAGGTCGCCCTAAACCAAACAAATATATGCTTTCCTTGAATAAAGTTATTTACACAAGAGCACATTCTAAAAATAAGTGGTACAAAAACGAGGAATATTTTTCCGTTTCTTTATTTAAACACAAATTAGTGAAATTCTAAAGATGTCCTTGATAACTCACTATTGATTGTACACCATATGCTTCGCAGGCGTAATACGCCTCGAATTACACATATTAGCATACACAGTTTTGGTAACTATACATAAATACTTAGATACACATTGGTAAAGACTATTTTGCAACTTTAATGTCTACAGGATGGAACAACTTAGGTCACTATGAAATAATCACTGAATAAGTGCTTGGCCAAAATTTGTACTTGTAGAGACTAGTCATTGAATTTTCACTTATAATCTCCCTAGTGCTTGAATTATTCCCGGAAATTTTTCCGAAGGAAAATTTCAGGACATTAATTCAAGGACGTGGGGGATTCGGTAAGAAAATTTTACAACCAAAATTTATTTAAAAAATTTGACGTTTCATTTTGATTATTTCGCCAAAATAAAGTTGGCATTTAATTTTTAAATACAAATATTTATCTTTGCAGTAGTACTAAAATAGAAGGAAGGTAAGTTTTTGTAGAAATGCGGTGTCTATGGCAGTTTATTAATGATCCTTATTAAACATAAAAAACAGCACATTACATTCACTTTAGTAACAAAAAAGGCATTTGAATTCAGATATTTATGTTTGCAGATGTTTGCATTATAATTCACTTAGTATTACTAAAATAGAAGGAAAGTAAGTTTTTGTGGAAAACCGATGTCTATGGCAATATATAAATGATTCTTAAAAAATCATAACTGCAATCAAGTAGGCTTAGGCTTGTGATGATCGTCTTCGCTATACGTCACGTTGACAGTAATTTTCTCCAGCTTCTAATTGTTTACAATTAAATCATGGCAGTGAACAACCAAAAAACTAATTTAAAACCTTATAGTATATGTAATTCTTGCACCAAAATAGGAAACATACTTATGTCTCATAAAAATTTGCATAAGTATTTGCCATATTTACTGAAGAAAACTGGAATCAGTTCGCATCAAGAAAACCTTTTCGCAGCTATTCAAAAGATTTTGAAGGAAGATATCCCATCTTTTTTACGTAAAACCAGGGCACAGCAGAACAAAATTTCATCAAATTATTACATATATTTTATGAAACACAGACATCTGATGGAAATGAAAAATAAAGGTAATAATTATGCTCCTCGTTACTATCCGTTGAGAGAAGAGTAGAGTTCCAGCCAGAATTTCAAAAACATTTAGCGTTAATAGAAGAAATCTCGGAACAAATATTTGGTAAATAATTATTTGTATCTATTTATTATTTTATAAATAAAAACATTACAAAGCAAAATTCTGTATAGGTACTGATTTTTGAACCATATGATAGTTGTCAAAAAAATTTCCACTTATTCATTTTGTTTGCCTAGCTTGGTAGGAGGAAAAAAAATTCCGAAAAATTGGGAGGTTGCCATGGGCAACTGTCGAAATTACAGTATGTAATTGGCTTAAGATGACAGGTGTAAAATTTTCATTAAAACCTGATCGTTATAGCATTTCAACTACACAACATAGATTTTTTTTAATAAAACAGTGTAGTGTTTTATGTAGCCAACACAGACAAAATAGCTATGGCGATAAACTATATTGTTTGTGTAGCCACTAAGTTCGCCGTAGGTATGCCTGTAGGCATACAGGGTGATTCAGAACTTATCCAAAAAAAAAAATCTGGATGAACAGGGGACCCTTACAAATACAATTTTATAAAGAAAAAATCAAAAAGGGCAGTTCGAAAATGATTTAAAAATACACTTCTGCACGGCACTGGAAACTGGTCCACTGTAAAACCTGATCTAGCACAATGTGACCGGCATGGCGGTGTGATAAAAACGGACAAAAACTTTCGCAAGGAAAGAAATATGTAAATAGAATTTTATCGTACCTATTTTATATCGGCAAATTCAACTGCTTTTGCCTTTATTAATTAATAAAATGAATGTGTGTTTTTAAATAATAAAATCAATTGACATACCCGATGTTACAACAACTGTTCAATATTTTATCCACCAATGTGTAAACACATTTGGGTCCGTTGTACACAGTTTCTACGAACTAACACAATGTTGTCTTGTTTCACCATAACACAAATACTTCACCATAAATTATCCATCAACTCCGAGTACACGCAAACCATTTTTGACACTAACTACCCATTTTTGACACTAACTACTAAAAACCTATTGTAAACACCACAGATAACAGGTAAATATCGCAACGACGATTGCAAAATCCTAATTCAGTATTCGGAGTCGCTGAGGCCACGTGGCGAATGACGCTAGAGGCTACAGTTGTCCAGCTATGTAGTGGTTGAATGTACTACAACTTCAATATTTTTTTTTCTTCGAAATTATAAGGATTTTACAAAAATTTTTTTTTACAATATTGATTCCTTTTCTCATGCTGCATCTATTCCCAAATTTTTTTGGATAAGTTGTGAATCACCCTGTATATTTTACAAGTATATCATATAGTATTATGAAGGCGTTTAATTAGTTTCATTATTTTATCATACTTTACTCATCTTTCAAATTACAAACGAATTTCTGAAAACACATTATTTTAGTTATAATATTCGCATTAATATGCCACAATTTCCTATCGTAGGTATATATCATAACATCAGAAAGGTGAAAAAATTTCTATGATGAAGAATAAGACATTTAAAATAACAAGACTTTCCCTCATTCTCCTTAAAGCAAAGAGACTTCTTTTACTTAATAAATTTCAATAATTATTATACAATCACTGATTGTAATTGGATAATGAGAAATAAAATTTCAGGAAATTTCTGGAAATATATTATACGCTTTTCCATTAGTGGAGAAATGACATACGAACATATTAGCTGTAAGTATTTGCTTTTATTACAAAATAATATTGAAAAGCTAATTAAATTTAAAAAATTATTTTTTTTAATCGCGTTTTCGTATTCTATTTATTTTTCCCTATCTACCCTTAAAATTAATGACATTATGGCTGAATCACTCTGTATTAATTAATTAATAACTGTTTAATAAATTTAACAGTGGAACAATCACTAGTTCCATAGTAATTTTGACTATATTCACTGCACATAGTCAGTAAATATTTCAATTTTTTTCTGTACAGAAAATCGAAACAGATAAAATGGTGAAATAGTATGTAATAATTTCATTTAAATAATTAAAAATTTATATACCGCCATGTTGATGAGATTTAACACTAATCACTAATCATGCTTTCATTGTACCTGCAGATTAGTCGATCGCTCTCTGTCAGCAATATTTTGTGTCAACAGTCAATGAGTAACAGTTAATTACGACACACTTTGTAGCTTATATCTTAAGGGAAAAATAAATGTATGCCAATAAGAGTTTTCTTGAAAGCTTTGGTTTTAGGAACTTTCATTAGGTACATTTGGATTGTCAATTTTGTTAAGTCTTATTATTCTAATTAGTTGACAATGGTAAATCTACGATATACTGAATTTAATTGAATCAAATATCAGCATTAATTATCACTCTGTTAACGAATAGTTGAAATTCTTTATGTCTAGCTGAGTTATACATAACCTAGATCAACCAGTAGAGATATTACAGCAAATCTCATGTATTTCCTTTTGAAAAATACTTAGTAAATGAAAATCCCCCCTTTTACTAAGTATTTTTCAAAAGGTAATACATGAAATTTGCTATAATATTTAAGTGTGCCAAAAAATCTCTACTGGTTGACCTACCGTACTATTTTTATAACAGCACGTACAAATTTTTACGGTTACTAAAAAAATATTTTCAGTGTACGATCAAACTTCGAAATAGAATATGTTTTGCAGAAAACGACTGAAAATAAAGAAATTACGAAATACGTTGTAAAATATTTTACGAGAAACAGCTATATAAAACGAGAAACTACTATATGGAATAATTTTAGTGTTTTCGGAAATTTCCGTTTGCATGTGTTTAACTTTTAAATTTTGGTATAGATGATATATAGTTCTTATTTATTTACTGACCAGTTTTTATTTAAGTGTAAATTTATTTCTTCTGGAATTTTATCGGGTATGGTTTTTATAAATAAAACTTTAAACCACGTTTCCATCCATATCAGATTAACATGGTTTTACCGATTTATCAATAAAGGCGGAAATACACATACCAGTAAAATAGGTAAGTAACTTGCATGCTAAGAAATGGCATATGCCGACGGATGGCACACTGCTAATACATTTGTAAGTAAAATGGAATGCCTCGTTAGTATTATGGCTTATTGGCATATCAGTAGGTAGCAAGTAGACACGTTCCGACATGCCAGTTGAAGTCCCCCGAAACCCCCCGCCTCACATTGCATGCCAACAAATCAAATGATATGCAATTTACTTGCGCGCCTTCTACAGGCATGCCTTTTAATAAATACACATACCAGGAGCTATCTCCTGCAAGCTACTTGCATGCTATTGTGCAAGCAAGAGGCATGTGTATTTCCGCCTTAATAGTATTTTATTAAGGGTATTCTAAATTATCAATAATGAATATAAGAGTTAATAGCTACTAACTATCAGTTATAATTACCATTTTATCTTGTTTCTTGCTCATTTAGACATAAATTAAACAGATGTATAAAATATCTTTAATAAAAAATTATAAAATAAACGACAAAAATATGTATGATGTTCCCAGAAGAATATTTTTAACTTTCTGCATAATCAACATGTTTTCTACTATCAATAGCAATGAATAATTATACTTAAGTAAAGGTGCATTACTGGAAATTACGTAATAATTTTGTACTAGGTAGGTACTTACAATCGATATTAATGAGGTTGCACTTTCCACCAACGACTACCAAATTACTATTCACTTATCGTTCAAAACTTTGACGCTTATTTAGGTGGCATGTTGCTATCACTTTGACAATTGTAATGTACTGTTACTTGATAATGAACTGTTTTTTTTACTTATACTTTCTCGCTATCTCTGTAATGAATAAAGTTCAAGTAGCTTGTGTATACATGTATTGTTTATTGACAATTTTATATAAGTACAAAAGTTACATGTGTCACAAAATATATAAATACAATTTAAAAAATATAAAAAGAAGACAGTAAGTGAATATGTAAAATTTATTTAAATGTCAATTTATTGATATACTATATAAAAACAATTTTCAGTTAAGTAATGCTTGGTAAATGTTTTAAAAAGTTTAAAATTCATTACGTTAAGTTTGTGTTGAGCGAATCTACTTACTAAAATATTATAAAGTTTTAAGTCCAAACTGGTTTTTAGCAATGTCAATCCTGGATTTCAGGACAATCAGATCATCAGCATGTATTATAATATGTATACAGGGTGGTCCGAATTTTATGCAGGAAACTTCAAGGGCAGATAGATCTCTTTAAAATAATAGCTGTTTGCCTTATAAACATAGGTCTGGAACGACCTCGTTTTAGAGATACAGGGTGTTGAAGTTGTTAAAAAAATGTAATTTTTTGTTTATATCTCCGGAATCTATTAACCGATCTGAATAAAATTTAGTACAGATAATGTATGACAGTAGGCCTTGCATTACCTAAAATATTAGCTCTAAAGGTTCAACCAGTGGTGTACAACTGGACAGGATCACCCCTTTTTTATAAAAAAAAAACCTACGCCACTGTATTTTTTACAAGTTATTGTAACGGATTTATATTCTAATGTACAAAATACGTAAAATAGGTAACTTGAATTTTTTCCGTAAATTTCACCGTTCTCAAGTTATTCATACCAATACAATCCCCTTGTGGCAGATACTTCTAACCATAATATTACAATAGTATATATGTTTATCGTTAAAAGTAAGTGCAATTTGTAAGCACTTCAACAAAATTCTTTACACTTGCCGCATTCATCTTTTTGGATTAAAAAACGTCTCAGCAACTCGGGATGAGTAAATCGAAATTTTGAAAAGTTCTACATAAAGATGGTAGAAATCCGTACCATTTACAACCTGTGCAAAATTTACTTCCGGAAGATGCAGAGAGACACCTAAATTTTTGTCAGTGGTTGTTAGAGTCACAACATAGTCCAGAATTCTTACTAAAATTACTTTGGATCGATGAAGCTACGTTCAATCCTCATGAAATTTGAACAAGATCTTTTCAAGAGGAATGTTCTGTGAAAGTGTGGCTCGGAATAATTCGCAATAAAGTTTGTGGACCTTTCTTCTTGCTACCATCCAAATTCCCAATAATTTCTAACCTCTCTAGAAAACCATCTATTTGAATTATTAGTTTCAAGCATAAACATAAATATTCTTTTAATATTATGGTTTGAAATGTCTGCCACAAGGGGACTATATTGGTATGAATAACTTGAGAACGGCGAATCTTAGGGAAAAAATTCAAGTTACTTTTTTTACGTGCATTAGAATATAAATCCGTTACAATATGTTGTAAAAAATACTGTGGCGTAGGTTTTTTATAAAAAGAGGGCGACCCCTGTCCAGTTGTACACCACTGGTTGAACCTCTAGAGCTCGAATTTTAGGGAATGCAAGGTCTACTGTCATACATTATCTATACCAAATTTTATTGAGATCGGTTAATAAATTCCGAAGATATAAACAAAAAATCAATTTTTTTAACAAATTTAACACCCTGTATCTCTAAAACGAAGCCGTTCCAGACCCATGTTTATAAGGCAAACACCTATTATTTTAAAGAGATCTATCTACCCTCGAAGTTTCCTGCATAAAATTCGGACCACCCTGTATATCAGTATTATAATTATGATTATCATCATTGTGTCTAAGCTCCTTTAGGTTACGGTGAATGTTGAGTAATAACTCTAGTATATACAATGAGTGCTTGGTGAAGAATTACTGATAATGCGTAGAGCCAATTTTTGCAAGCAGAAGACTTTCTAAACGACGTTGAATTCCCTCAAAATAAAATCCCGTAAGTCAAGTGGCTATTTATTAGAGAGAAATAAACAGATCTTAGAATATCATGAGGCAAGCAATTTTTAAGTTGTCGTAATGCGAATATTTGAGAAGATAATTTTGAGCACAAAGTATCAATATGTGCTTTCCAATTTAGGTGATCATCCAGCATCAAACCTAGCAGTTTCACTGGCGTAGAGCTAATAGTTCGTCTATCGGATGTGAAATTCATGTGTTAAGTCATCTAACATTTGTTTGCTGAAAACCAATCTTTAGCTTTATCAAATAAGGAAACATTAAAATATGTGTCACTACTTGATAAGATCGTAGTATCATCTGCAAATAATGCACAATGACTATCAAGAGTGGTTATTGAAATAAACAAGAAAAAGTAGAGGCTACAAAACAGACCCCTGGGGTACACCATTATTTATAGTGTTAGAATTTTTACCTTCGCAACAAACAAACTGCCTCCTGTTTGTAAGATAAGACGCAAACAAATTTAATGCATTGGACCTCACTCCATAGAACTCAAACTTACGAAGAAGTATGGAAGTAGTCGAAATAAGTCATACATGATTGCCTCGGTTGTAAGGCCTTGATTGAAGCCGTCAACAACTGTACCAATTACATCAGTTATTGCGCTAATTATAATTATTCTTGCGAAAACCGTACAGTTCGCCAGAAAGCAACTGCTTAGATTCTAGATATGATGACAACTTATCTTTTATAATAATCTCTAGCACTTTGGACAAGTAAGGAACAATAGCTATCAGTCTATAATTATCTGTGATATCAGTGTCACCTTTTCTAAACATAGGAGTAATTTTAGTTACTTTGAATGCATCAGGCCAACACCTATCCTAAAGGCACTTATTGAACAGGATAGTCAATGGCTGATGTGTTATGTAGGTATGCAATTATGGATTCTATTATTTTGCTCTTAATATTGTAACAGTCTATAGTATGAGATTCTTTTAGTTTCAATATAGCCTCATTTACGTCGGATTCAAGTATGCCGGACATAAAAGAAGAAAAATGTGGTTTACATATCTTTTCCAAGTAGATATTAGGATCTGAATTAGATATTTTAATAGAATTATATGTGACATTTGAAACATTGGCAAAAAAATTATTGAAATCATCTGGAATAATAGAAGTAGTCTTCGATTTTGGCTTATATACTCATTCCGAGTTAATTATTTTCCAGCACATCCCTGCTTTATTAGAAGTATTTAAAATAACTTCAGAATAAGTTTTCCTTTTTTCATCCTTTAATGCTCATTTATACTCATTTCGTGCTAGTTTATAAACTGACCAGTATGTTCTAATTTAGAGGTTAAAGCTGTACTTTTTAGATAAAATATATTCTTTGGCATGTCGCATAATTTTATGTTAAACTATCGAATATTTTGTTTATATTCCTTTTCCACAGATCGCATCGGAAAACAGGAACGGTTAGTTTTGAGAATGTCCAAAATTAACGACGCATTATCCTCGCTATTCAACTGTGCATTATTTAGGTCCTTCCAAGAAATTCTGGACATATTGTGTAATTAACCTCTGATGAATTCTCGTCAGAAGGGAAGAATGTTGACTGGCGCGTAAAGATATACATTGCCCATGATGATCTGATATGTCAGGGTCAAAATTACTAATTTCAATGATATTGTCATCTTTTGTTAAAATATTATCTATGCAAGAAGATGTTGTTGTAGTAATTCTAGTTGGAACATTGATAGACACCGTAAGAGTCTTTGACTTAAATACTACAACCTAAAAGAAAACATTTCAGCACTATGCTGTCAATTCTCTGTGTCACATGGATTGTCAGCGGAAAATTAAACTTTCCAGTTTTGGGCCGGGTAAATTAATTAAATAGAAATTGGTGGCATTTCGACCCAAGGCAGATATTAGAAAAATAAGACATAAAAACCTTATGCCTTACAAAAACAACGGTTCCGGAAAGAATAAAAAATTGTCATTTTCCAAATATTTTCACTAATGTAAAAATTATAGAAAACTGTACAGCTTGCCTGATTTTAAATAAAGATTGAAAGTTATATTTTACTATGCCGTACGAATGCACTGGTTCTAAGAGCTTTTACCGTGACGCAAATTTTCTCATTTCAACCCCTATTCCAAAAAATTATTAAGAAATGTACGGCACCGATTTCAAAGTTTTACTTATGCTTTAAAATAATGAAAAATATAAGTGCCGTACAAAATATTTGGCTAAAAAAAATTGTTATATAATTGTGAGTGCTCTGAAGTGAACGTCATTTTTCTTTGGGTAAAAATCATTATTTCCTGAACGACATAAATTTCGGAAGCAAGTTATTCCACTTTATAGTCTTCATACAAAAGTGCCGTACAAAATTATTGGCACCAGAAAAAAACAATTGGCCATGAATATAAATATTATTTATCATTTTTTCAATTTGGAAAATCCATTTGACAGCTACTATAGTACTATATATTTTCAATTTTATTACTGTTTTAAATTATTCAAGGGTTAATATTAACAAAATTGTGGGTGCCGCCTATTTTTAATTTCAGGGTTTTCCATAATTAGTAGGATTTTCCAAGGCATTTTCACTACATTATGAAATTATATATTCCTGTACGGCATTTACCCCATAACATTAACACCATCAAATGGTAATAAAAAATTATATTGCCGTACATTTTTGACGGAACATTCATATGCATAAATGATAAATTGTATAAACAATAAAATGAACAGAGATGGTGTTTCGTAAATTTCAAGTAGGTAGACCAATAAAAATGTAAAACTAAATTATGTTAATCAATATATATTTTAGAATTTATCTTTTTCAATGCAAGAAATAATTACCAAAAAATAAAATTGATATTTGAAAGAAGTATTAATAAAGTTTTGGTCTTTTGAAATGTTGGAGACTAATGCTGTGATCATCAGCAGCAAATTCAATTGTAAGTATTACTTTAGAACCTTTACAGGATGCACCATTTTCACGTTTGATTATTTTTTAAAGAAAAT